TAATGACACCACTATTAGGAACTAAGACAAATCTTGGTTCTTCTTTTTTATCAGCAGTTAATTCTTATCGAGTAGATTATGACCATTCACAATCAATTTCTTTATCATTTACAAATCTTAAGAAAATAATTTTCTTTTATCCAATAAGAACTTTTCCAAAATCAATTTGACCATCAGCAGAATTCTCAATTACAATTTATGGAATAGTAATATTGGCAACCAATTCTAAATGAAACTTAGGACCTTTTTTTAATTCAATAGGCACAACAATTTTTGTAGGACCAAATCCCATATTCTTTTTGGTTTAATATTAAATATTCAAAGTGATATTAGCACCACTAGGTAAATTTAAGACTCTTTCAGGGACAATATTGTAACCTTAAGGTTTGAAGTATTTGCCATCCAAAACAAATTCAACAGGAAGTGTGCCAGGATTATTAATTATTATTGTTTTCTATCGAATAGAATTAAGTACCACATTGCCGAAATCACATATATAAGTAGCCAAAACTACATTATCATAAAACTTTTCTTTTTAATCTCTTGAGTGTGCTCTTTCATCTTATTTATCTAAAACAGTCTTTTTAATTTATTCACAAAACACAAATCTATCTATATCTCTTTCTACTTCTAATTATACTTATTCTAAAGTCTTAACTTAAACCTTTTAATTAGATGTCTTAGCTAATAATTAAGCTCTCTTTATTTAATTTTCTAAATCAGCTTTTTTCTTTGTAATTTCAACATCAAATTTTTATTAAAATAATGGATTCTCTGCTCTTGGCAATTATACAACCATGGAGGGATAGACACCTCTACCAATAATAGTAATTGGTTCTGGTTCATAATATCCTATTTACACTAATATGATTTCTTTGAATTCTGCAGGTATAACAGGTGAGACTCTTACTGTAATTCTAAGTTTCTCTCCTCCTGCAATTTTTCCATTTTATGGTTATACATCTACAAAGCCTTTCTTTTTGACATGTCTTAAATCTATTTTAAATTCGAATGTAACCTTTCCTGTATTTTCAATTGTAAATTCTCTTGAAACCCATTCACAAAATCTCACATCACCTAATTCAATTAGAGTTGTGCTCATTTTAGATGATAATAAACTACTATCACCAACTAAAGTAACTTCATATTCAGGACCACCATCTACATGACAAACAGCTGTAGTTTTAAATCTCTATCCTCCAATTGCATTATAAACAAATTCAACTTATTCTTCTGAACCAGGTTCCATATATCCACTTAATGGTAATATATCAAATATTTCATTTATTGGTATATTTGCTTATTATCCTTATGTTGACAATTCCTCACTTACAAATGTCCACTCATAATTTAATGCCATTTCACTTTAATTTTTCATTGTCATTACCATTTTTTTAGTTGTATCATATAAAATAGAACCAAAATTAATTAAGTTTGTTTCCATTATTAAATTAGGGAAATGTACTTAACCAATTAAATCAATCAAATCCTTATGAGGATGTTCATAATGAGATAATTATAATTTTCCTTCTAAATCTCCTGATTTACGATCAGATTTAAAAGCAGGATCAAAATCAATTCTAACAACTGCACTTTTTCCTGGATTCAATTATAATTTATCTTAATTGACTGTGAAAGGTTATTAACATTTTAAATCGAAATTAACTGGAAGAGGACAAGCACAAGTTATATCAAGATTTTTTGAAATAAGCGTAAATTAAACATCCTTCTCCCAAGAATATTTAAAGAAAAGTTTTCTCTCTGAAAATTATAATGTTGGTTAAATAAAATCACCTTCAATTGTAGTAGCAAATAATAGATTAGCCTTTCTTTCTGTTCCAATAGTTGAATTTAACATAAATATCTCTTAAATCTTACCCTTTTTTTAAGAATATCCTCTAAATTGAAACATAATACCATGTTTAGGTGGTAATACAATAGTATCAGGAGCAATAGAGAATACTGATTCTTCTTCTGGTGGAGGAGGTGCTTTATTATTATTATTATTATTATTATTTTTTTAATCTTAATCTTCCTTCTTTTATTATGGTTTTTTTTAAGTCCATTATAATTTTTATTATTTCCTACCTTTATTTTCTACAAAGATTTCTTTAGTAACTTTTCTATGTGTATAATTAACTCCCATATTTACAGAAGATAAATCATCTTTACAAAATATGGTAGATCCTATGCCTTTAGCTTTTAATTAAACTTCTACATCATCACCTTCTTTGATTACAAAATGAAGCACATCAGAAACCTTAACAGCATCATCAGCACTACAAAGTACTTCAATTTCACAACTTTCTTTTGGTTTAATAATACCATGTTTTTATATTGGTTTAAATATTGATACTTTATTTTTTGTGAATGCATGAAAATCAGCTTCAATATCACTATCATTAGTTAAAGTTAATTTTAGAGAATAATCTTTTAAAACTTCAACATTTCCAAAATCTAACTCTGTTTTAGATGTTTTTACTTTAGGTCCTTCTGAATATGCAATGATTGTTATAACATGTGGTTATCCATTATTAGTTCCTACAATATTTATTTATAAAGGTAAAGTAATATCATATAATTTTTTTGTTGTTAATGTTACTTCCAAAGACATAGTAGAGTTTCCATTAATCTTACCACTGGATGGTTCTACTGTATAATCAGCCAACACTTTATATTCATCATTCTAAGGTAAAACAACAAATTTAGCTGGTAATTCAGAAGTATTAATTAAATCAACTCTAGATTTACAAGGATTTCTTAAAAATACTTTTTAATCCTCTCCTTTATTAAAAGCCAATTTATCACTAGGTCTTAATTCTACTCTTGGTGCTTAACAATCAGCTGTAATTGGAATAGATAACATATCTTATCCAACACCTTCAATATCAACAACCATAACTTATTCATAAGTTTTAATTTATTTTGGAATAAATGTAACTTTTATTACATCAAAATTTTTAGGTTGAATAGTATTTCTTCTAGGTTCAATTTCAAATTCTCTTTCAGCTAATTTACCATCTCCAGGTATTTTAAGTTCATATGTAAATGCTACAGTAGATGTGTTAGTCATTTTAATACTCTTTGTTTATTCAAATGAATAACTAACTGTGCCAAATTAGATTTTCTCATCTTAAAAATTAAATGTAGGAGCAATTACATGTCCTATAAATAGTATAGTTAATTAATCTGTTGATCCTTCTAATTTCCATCTAAATGTTTCTTTAAATTCACCTGGTATACTAGATTTAAATGTAATTGTAAATGGCATTCTTTAACCAACAGCTAATACTCCTCTTTCAACATCAAATTTAAACATTTTACCAAATGCTCTTTCATTAGGCATTAATTCAAATTTACATTCTATTTCTCCTCTATTTTCAATCACTACTTCAGTCTTATGAATTTCATTAACAAAAACATCTCCTAAATTAACTTCATAAACACTTAAAAATGCTCTAGGACCCATACCTTATCCATATAAATTTAATGGTAATCTTTCCTCTGAACATGAAATATTGCAATATGCAACTGTCTAATAGAGAAATGCACTTCTTGGAACAAAAGTAACTGTAACTGTCATTTCTGAATTTGGCCAAATTTATCCTTAAGTTGGTTCTATTGTAAATATATCATCAATAAATAAAAGTAAATCATCTTCAATTGCTTTACGGATGTTTCTATATTTCCTTGCTAATTATAATTCAGCTTTTTTCTGTCTTTTCAAAATTATAGCTTTTTCATCTCTCTCTTCCTCTTCACTATCTTCATCTTCTTCTAATTCTAATTCTTCATGTACACCTTCATTTGATACTAATTCTTTTATTAACATTCTTTCTTCAGCTTCTTCCTCTTCTAATTAATTTCTTAATCTATTCTTCTTTTCTTATTCTTCCTTTTCAGTTGCAAATGCTCTCCATTCAAAATCTACTTTCACATTAGACTTATTTATTATTTATAATGTTTATTGTAATTAGAGACCAATAAATGCCTCAGTCATATTAATCTAACTTTTAGACAAATAAACATTTCCATTATGAGCCACCCCTATTATTGGAACATAAGCTTCCATATTATCATACTATAAAATAGCTTTATTTTTATAAGATCTAGCTTCAGTAGGAAAGAACCTATTGTTAATAAACTTTATTACTTTATTACAATTTATTCATTTTTCCCATATTCTAAAACTCCTTCTCTCTTATCAGCATCAAAACCTAAAGGAAGTTTCAAAAACCATTTTGTTGTCTTTTCTCCTAAATTTCTTATGATTACTGGTTTCTCTGTTGTATATTTGACAGGACAATTTCCAAAATCAAGTGAATCAGGAAAATCTATAGTATATCTATAACATTTTACCAATCATCGCTCTTTTGCCTACTGCTACAATTGGAACTACAAATTTCTCTCTTTCTGTTTCTACAATAACATCATAATTATAATCTGATTTTGATTCAGGAGAAAAACGAATAATGAAGTTAGTCTCCATACCTGGAGCTACCTAATACATTATAATTATAAAATAAATGCCTTAGTTCCTGTTCCTGCATCTTTTCCATTTGTACCTTAAGGCACAACTTAAAATAAACGAGAATCAGGCTTATAAATTTTAACTCTTCTAGCCACTCGATCTTTATTTCGCAATTTGAAAATCTTTTCCTTTATTTATAATGGCTTGTATTCTTTAAAGAGGAATTTATACCTCATAATCTGTAAATTAAATAATGGGTGGAATTGGATCAAATAATGGTTCATCAATAGGGACACTACTCACTGGTTAAGAAGAGAAGTCAGCCAGATTCTAAAATTCAATTATTTTAATTTTAGGATGAGCATCTTCAAAAATCTATCCTGACAATTGTTTCTAAATCAATTAGGATGGAGTCTAAGTTTATAAGAGAGGAATACGAATTCTTAAATTTTAGCTTGTCTATTAGTCTGATTAAGCTTCTTCTGCATCATCAGTTATTTAATTTAATAAAATATTTTTTCTTTTTGTATCACTAAATCATTTACACCAGGGAGTCTGTGACATTCTTTTTAAATAATTAATATATTTCCTAATTGGTCTTATTCATAGTCTCCACACCATACTTATAAAATATCAATACGCCTAGCAAAGTTATGACTGCGAAAAACAGGAAACAGTTCTCCATCCCCAGATGTTTGCTTACTAAATTACTTAAGTGTACATAGCAATTGGAAAAATCAATAAAATGATAATTGAATAGATCCAAAATGTATAGTAGCAATATGAAATTAATTGTTATGGAACAAATTCAGGCATGTAAACAGGTACAATAGGACCAGTTGAACTAAAATTTGCAAATACAAATGCGAAGATGAATACTATTATCATATCATCATTCATTAAATAAGAAAACAGGTAGATTCCAAAATTAGCTATCAACATTAATGATAATCCTGCTAATAAAGGTTTCCTCCTACCATAATATTTCAGAGTTATTGTACCAGCAAAACTATACAATATCCATTTAAGTACAGAAATCAAAAAAGATAAAAATTAAGCTGTCTCTTATGATTTTGAATTATTAAAAATCTATGTTGAATATTGTACAACAGCATTGAATCCACAAAACTAGAATATAAACATTAAAAACAATCCAAAATAGAATTGTTTTCTGTATTTTTTAATTGTCATTCCAAAATCAACTTTTTTATTCTGTGTTTATGATTATTCTCTTATATCATCCAATAATTATTAATAGTTTGAACTTTGATATATCTTTTACAATACTAGAAGTGCTTTATCATCTTAATTATTCTGTATATAAAAAATAGGAGTTTGAAAATTATATACAGTTTTCATAACAATAATCCTTATTAGACTTGGAATTCCACCTACAAAAAAATAAATTCTCCAAAAATATTGATTCAATTAATCAGGAGATGTAATATTATCTGTTGTTGGAAACCAAACTCCATATAACATTGTTAAAAAATATCCAAAAGAAAAAACTGTCGATAAAATTCCACCCATTGATGAATACATTGATGTTGGTGAAATTTGTCTTATAAATACAGGTTGACAAACAGCACAAATTCCACATCCAATACCTGCAATTATTCTTCCAATAAAAAATGTATATATATTTCCCAAAATTAATATTGAACTTCCAAAAAATAAGCATAAATCTGCTATCAAAATTCCAGTGTGATATTTTTTGATAAATGTAGTTAATATTGAACCAAAGAAGGCTCCAACATAAGATGAACTAGTAAGTGCTCCTGCAAAAAAACTTTGATCATCTTTACTAATTTGAAAAACAATATATAATGTTTTTAAAGCATTGTTCATTGAATTTGATACAAATGCATATGAAATAGATCCTATATTAAATGATATACATGCAATTACGACCCAGGTTTTATTTATTTACATTATTCTAGTTTATACAATTCTAATAATTAGCAATAATAAATATTTCAATCATAAAAAATATTATCAATAATCTATACAACACGATTTTTATTATTTTTTAAATAATCCTCTTTTTGAATTTAAAATATCAAATTAATATGTTTGTAAATTATCTATTATATTTTGAAAATGGCAATCTAATTTATTTTTGTAAATATGAATTTTATGATACATTTTTTCATTTTTAGAGTTTTATATATGTGGCTATTATTAAAACCAATATTATTGAATACAATTTTTATATGTTTTATTAAAATCTATAAAATTGAACAAAATATTCAATCAAAATGAATAGGTTTGCTAAGATTTTATAATTCTTCGAATAAAGCCTTAATTTATTCCTAATCATCAACTTCTTATTTTGGTGACTCAAAAAGGGGCTAATTTAAATTAGTTTCTAAAGTATGAAGTTCATTTTGTAAGAATTTAGTTGTAAAATATTAAGAGATGTCTTTTTTTAATCAAAATGAATTACTTTTGAATTTTTTATGTTAAGACATCGCACCAATAATGATGTCTATTCTTTCTAATTTATGATTAACTTAATCGAATTGGCTATGCAACAGCTATTAATATTAAAAGATTAAACCTTTTTCAAATTCCACATTTCTTCTAAAAGCACACCACTCTTTTGTTTTAATATTTACATGTCTTCATCTAATCTTGTATTTGTATCTTTAATATCAGATGCACAAACTCTTAAAATATTCTACTCTTCTTTTAATTTAGCAGCTAATCAAAATAATAATACAGATAAAATACATGGTTGATTAGGATTGAGAGATTCTTAATTTCCATCATCGTTATTTCTTCGTTTTATGAACTATAACATCTATCTATTTTAAATTGCTTCAATATGTTACTTTACTCCCTTACGAAAACATTTATGTTTAAACTCCTAACCTTCCTAATGTTTACTCTTTTTAAAATTATATAAATTCAATTGTCTAACATCTCATTTTTATGATTACCTCAGAAAACTAGAATAATTTCTATGTTTGAAATATTATGGCAGAACTTATTATTATAAAAGCTTTTGGCTTTTAACAACAAAACTTAATCCTTCTTCAGTCCAAGAAACTATATGAGAAATGGATTAATCCTACTTTTTAGAAATTATATACTTCTAGCATTTCAAAAGTTTTCATAATAAAAGATGGAACTAATGAACGAGTTGCCATTTTGATTAAAATTATTTTATTATAATATAGTAATTTAGATAAATGTTGAAACCCAGTTATTTTTATATTTCTGAGATTGAATCTTTTTGTAGAAGTAATAAATTTGTTTTTACTCATAAATTCATCCACAAATTAAAGTATATCACATTAGTATTTCTCTGCAAATGGGACAAGTTTATTGATAGTTTAGCCATTGGTTTAAACATTCATTATGAAATATATGTTCGCAATCTGTTTTAACACAATTCTCAAGTGATTCTTAGGTAATTTAAATAGTTTCTTAGCAAATTGAACATTCAGTATCTCTCTATATATCACTTTACTAAGGATTTTTATGTTAATATTTATTTTATGATCTATTGTTTTATCTCCTAAAGCAATAAATAAATATCAATATAATAATTATAATCAGAAATGATATAAAACTAACAACTATTATAATAGTTACTGATTCTTCTTTTTTTTCAAAGTAGTTAGTTTAAAAATCTATTTTTATCTTATAATTAATATCTTCTTAAGATTCTAATTTAATAATCAAAAAGTTTTAAGGAAATTTATTACTAACATTACTTTACAAATAATTGTCATATAATAGCTTAATTTCAACCATTTTTTGATCTAGAACAGTATGATTATAATTATGATTGAAATTACAGGGGAGATTATGATGTTATGAAATTAGCATTTATATATTAATTTTTGATTCAGCTTAGTTTTTTGAATCAAATGTTAGTCTTAATCTATAATCAGAAGTAGTGTTGAAAATTGTATAAATATATTATAATTTAGATATCGAAATGGTAAACTATTTTTAAGGTAAAAAAAACTTTGCAAATTAAGAGCAATCCTCATCTATAAATCCTTACTCACATTAACATTTCCCTTACTTGTTAATATAATATGAAATAATTACTGCGCATTATCCTCTATTGCTACAATTATTAGGACATAGCTCTATATTTGATGCTGTAAATACTAATTTATAACTCAAAGTTTTATTTGTAAGGATTGTCAAATATGATTCTAAGTTACTATTCTAATCTAATTGTAATTGTAAATAGTGATATTTTTTTGATAATTATAGCCTTACTTAATAGTCAAAATATTTACCCATTTGCATCATATTTATCACACAGTATTCTTTTTTTTTAGGCCTTTAAATCATATTATGGAGCCTATCCATAAGCCTATAATAAAACTAATTTTGAATTTGATTTCGATTTAAGTTTAACAAAAAGCTCAATTAAAAGATATCTAAATTTTTCCTCTTTTATTATTTTCAATTGAATCGTCTAATTTAATCTTTTTTAGGTCATGTTAAATATCGTCACATCTTAATTTATATCTATTTCCAATAATTACAGAGTAATAATTGTTTAAAAGTGAATAATTACGATTAGAATTCTAATCATATTTAGCAAATATAAATTTCTTTCAATATTAAACAATTTGTATAAGAATTTTGTTTGGAATACTCAAATTTTGCCTATTTATATTCATTTTATTTTATATTTAAAAAAAAATGAGATCAATAAATAATTCCATTGATACTCCCTCTATAAAAGTTAAATTTAATCAAAACGACAAAGTAGATGAAATGAAAACTACAAAAACCATAAAAAAAAAGCGTATTCAAACTGAATTATCAATAATTTGGGAATTTTATATGTATATGATTATGGCTATCTTGGTCGAAATTATTGTATTAATTTTTAACAACTAGACTAAAATTCTCAACATAATCAGAATTATTGTATTTATTCTAATTTTAATATTATCCCTCATATACATAAAGAAAATGCAGTAAAATTTATTATTGTGCTTGATATGTTTGATAAAAATATTATAGACTTCAACCATTTATTTAAATGATGACATTTATTTAATTGCAATTATACCATTTGCATATGATTAAATTGAAAGTAGCAATAAAGTTGCAATCAAATTAAAAGTGATTGAGAAAATATTAATAAAAGTCATAGTTGTAAGTTTAATTTGTATTTTTTCTAAATTGCCTATAGCGATAACAATAAATTTATGTTTGGTGATCTTAGAAATTTTTAGAAATCGGGCTATGTTTAGAAAATAAGAAGAGAAATAATCTTTGATAAATGATAAAATACCAATTGATTATGAATAAGGATCACACAGTGTAAGTTAAAGAGTTGAACAAAATTAAAGAGAAGATGTTTGGAAGAAACGATTTTATACTATTCCTTTATCAATTTTAATGATTTCTAAAGAAACTTTAAAAATTACCTATAAAAATCAGACTTTATTTAAATAATTTTGTGATAGTTTTATAAATGAAGAAGAATTGGAAGATTTAATTTTGAATAAATTGCATTTTTCACTATTATCAGATCATTAAGAATTTGTATAATTGTCATCTACTAATATTATTAAATTAAAATAAAAAAAATCTAATTCATCAAATGTTTTAAATTAGAAATCATGTATGACACAATTAAGTTCTTATGATTTAATGTAAAAAAGAACTTTAATAGAAATCTTGACTTCAATTAAAAGTGAAACCTATAATTTATAAAAAGACGTTATTGAATTATTTTGTCAGTAAACAGAAATATCAGGAGCAAAATATTAATTAGAAGCTAAAATAATATTATCTGATAAAGATGAGGAATTTTTTGTGACAATAAATGACACGACAAAATAAAATGAAATTCAGTAATTTATTGTTAAAGAGGAATTTAAAAGTAAAGTAAATAATTTAAATATTTGAGATAATAGAATCATTTTCACATGAATTACGAACACCATTAAATAGTGCAATAAACTTTTTAGAGGCATCTATTACCGATAATTCTGTAGATGATAAATTGAAATTACAGACTCTTGAACCAGCAGTATATTCTTTAAAGTTATAATCATACTTAATTAATGATATCATTGACTATTAAAATTATAATGCAAATTAATTGGAACTTTATGTTACCGAATTTTCTGTTTAAGATTTCCTTAGTGAATTGACATCCTTATTTAGCATATAATTTGATATGAAAAAAATAGCCTTTAATTTAGATTTAAAAAAAAATTACTTATAATATCTTAGTACTGATTAAACTAGGTTAACTTAAATATTAGTTAATCTTTTGTAAAATTCCTTAAAGTATACTTCTAGTGGAGTAATATAACTTAAACTTAGTAGTATATCAAATGATATTTTGAAAATAGTGATTCAAGATTCAGGAATAGGAATTGCTCCAAATGTTCTAGAATAAGTTAGAATAACTCTTAGAAATGTTGAAGAATGTAAAGACTTTTAAACTTTTAAAGCTTGGAAAGGTTTTGGTTTATTGATTGCTGCTATATTACATTAAAGTTTATGTCCTCAAAATTAAAAAACAATATAGATTGAATCAACAGGATTTAATAAAGGAACTAAGATTAAATTTTATATCTTAAATTTTAATTATAGTTCTAAACAAAATACAATAAAATAATCATTGAGTGTTAAAAATACACTTAGACAATCTTAAAGTGTTAAAAAATCTTTATAATCAAATTCTCTTAGTTAGATATTACCAATGAATGGAACAATTTATTTAGCTTAAGATATTGCATAAGTAAATTAACATATGAAAAAAAGTGAAAGATTTTAGAATTCTGCATCAAACACTTTAGATGATTTTTCAGAATTATCAAGAAGTCCTAAAATTTAATTTTGTTCTCCTGATGCAAATATATCATAATTAGTTTAAATATAACCTGTATTAATCACAGAAATAAAATCAAGTTAGAAGATTGCAATAAAAAATAAAAATCCATAATTTTAATCATATAAATCTCAAAAATCTTAATTAGTTAATTTAAATTAATTTAGAAAAATGGAAACTTAATATCGAGAAGATATTTTCAAAACTTTAGCCACAAAAAAAAATAAATGTAATTGTAATTACATTCTATCAGTTGATGATGAAATCTTTAATTAAAAATCAGTTGAAAGACTGTTATAATAAATAGGATTCGATGTTAAATTAGCATTTAGTGGTGATGAAGCAATTAATCTAATATTAAATTTAAAGCCATGTAGTTTAGGTTGTAATCTTTTAACTATTATTCTAATGGATTATTAGATGCCATTAAAAGATGGAATAACAACAACTAAAGAATTGAGAAAACTTATGTAAGAAGGTATAATCCCTGATATTCCAATAATTGGCTTAACTGCTTTTACAGGCTTGTAAGATATTAGAAATTGTTTAATAGCAGGCATGAGCGATGTTTTATCAAAACCTTTAAAAATTTAGGAGTTAAAAGATGTATTAGCATCTTTATGATTATAAATACTGTATATATATTAAGAATAATCATAATAATGTTAGTAGCTCACAAAAATCATTAAGCTTTAAAGGTTTGAATAGTACCTCTATCATTCCAGCATTCAAACAACTATCTATTTCTAATTTACTTGTGAATGCAGTTAATCCTACAATATTTATATTTGGAATTATATTTTCTTTCATCATTCTTTTTAATTGAATAGTACATTCTATACCATCCATTATTGGCATTGAATAATCCATTAAAATTAGATTCAAAAGTGCACATTCCTTTGAACATTTCCGTAAAAACTATATTTTTGCAATTGCATCCTATCCATTATAAGCCTTTAATAAGAAATCGAAATTTTACAATTATCACTTCAAAACCAAATCTCTCAATTAATAATTTAATTGAATTTTAATTAAAAATTTCATCATCAACAGACATAATCCTTCTGCATTTACAACATTATTTATTCTTAAAATTTTATAATGCAAAATCATTGTTTTATCTCTCCATTATTTTTAATTAAGAGTAACTTAATATTTTTGATCTAATGTTAAAAAAATATAATAATACTTCATTGATGATGATTTAATTGATTGTTATTCAAAAGATCCATTCTATTTATTTTGATTTATGATATTTAAGATAAAATTATGTTATTAATTCTCCAATAATATATATTAATCAGATAAATTCTGCTGTTTTTTTTCAGACTCTATAGATTATTGATCATAATCAGTCCTCACTTTTGGCATTTTATTGAAAGAAGACATAGCCTTACCATTTATTCCAAGATTTGAAGAAATTTATGCATTTTCATTAACATAGATAACTGTGCCAACCAGATTATTATGATAAGTCTTTTTTGAGCTTCTACGAAATTTAACTGATTTTTTTTTTGAGATATCATCAGTATAGTTATTAAGTTCATCAATTAAAATTTATTTAATTTTAAATTTAAATTTAGTGCCTTTATTTAACTTAGATTTTATTTAAAAAGTCTCTGAAAATTAAGGATTTAATTAATGCAATAAAATACTTGATATAAGTAAGCCAATACCATTCCAAGATTTCAATTTTGAAAAATATTTTAAATTCTCAACCTAATTTACATAAGTATTTAATTTCTTAATCATATCTGATTTAATACCAATTCCAGTATCTGAAACAGAAAACTATATCACATCATCTTCTAAGTTTTTTATTTTTAGAATTGCTCCACCATTATATGTATATTTTAAGGAGTTTTAAATTACATTTACTAAGATTTACATCAATCTATTATAATCAGTTGACATATAGGTTGAGGTATTCTTAGTTAGATCTATTACAAAATCTAATCCTTTTTCATAAAATTATAAATTGAAAATGCTTGTAATTTCACTTATTATATCTTTTATTTCAAACTCTTTTACACAAACTTCCAAACTATTGTTGTAAAATTATGAAAAGTCTATTACATCATTGATTATATACGATTACAATTGTAATGCAATTGATGCAGGTTCCAAACATTATTCTTTAATAGATAATGGTAGTAATTCATTAGCTATTGCAGATTTAATAAAATTTATTGAACTATTTAAAGGTGTTTTAAGTTCATGAGAAAGAGATTCTATAACCTAAAATATATTAAAACAAAATACTTTCTTTTAAAATTCGTCTTTTACAATAAACTATTATAATTGCATTTATTTAGATATATCAGATAAAATAATTGTTAATTCATCATCTCCATCACTAGAGAATATTGTTCCATTAATTTAAAATGATTAAGAATCTTAAATTTGATGGCAGTACAAATCTATAGAATTAGTTAGAGGTTTCATTAAATTATTATATTCTCCAGCTAGAAAATTTTAAGAAATTTATAAAAGAGACAATTTTTTAAAATTTTCCATATCACACTAACTTGAATGAGATAGATTAACTGGTTTATTCAAAAATTATTTTCTTATTATATAACTACTAGAATTTTTAAGCATTTCTAAACTGTCCTCCAATATAGTGAATTCCAATTTATTCATTATTAAATCATTTATTTCATTATCATTATAACACAATGTATTAAAATTTTTTTTAGCTGTTTCATTCTTGAATTTTATGGCTAGTGCCTTTTTACTTAATATAATTATTGAAATTGGTATAGCATTCATCCTTTTTATCCAAAGATCTTCATTTATAATGAGATTATCATAATTTATATATTCTTCATTTTTTACTAGTATTTCATTGTTTTTAAATTCTTCATTTTTCATAAAATTTTCAACTTGATTTATTTTTTCATTATTGATATTTAAATTCTCAACAGATTATCTTTTTTATTTAATTCCTAATTTATATTTTTATACTTGCCTATTTGTTGCATACAAGTGTATAATTTGATAGGTGTCAAGTGCAATAGCATTACATAATATAATGATAAACACTTAATTGCTCCAATATAGAGAAATGTAAGTTAAACTCAATACTTTTAGGACTAGATAATCGAATAAACAATTATAATTTTCATGATTTTTTATTAAAATTCCCTTATCTAGAACAAGTGATAGAATTCCTAAACTATTCCATTCTTCTTATGAAATTAATTAACTGATTGAAACTATTTCACAAATAAATTTTATAAATCTTGCAATTATAGGATCAAACTTCTTCTATAAAGCAATCGTTATTAAAGTTAAACTTAATGTTAAAATGAATTTGATGAGCATAAATTATGAATAGGTGTGATTATATATATAAAAGGCTAGATTACTGAATGAAAGTAGCAGTAAATAGAGCTCTACATTATAGTTATTAGCACAACATAATTTCTAGAAACTTGTTATATCCACTTCTTTTAGATCACTTTCTCCTTTTAATTTACTATGACTCATTAAGTTTATTTAGAAAAACTTTATTTACTTATATAATAAATATTATCTATGTAAAAATTAACCAATAGTACTAAACAAAACTTTAATCGGTTTCAATATTCTAATTTAAATCCTTAAAACAAAGAATTATTTAAATATCAAAGTCTTATCTGTTGAATTATTTATTATTTTATTCTTAAGATTTCAAGATCACTAAATAATTTGTTTCATGCAATACGTTATTGATTATGTTGATTCTATATTTATTTTAAGGTCTAATTGCAAATTCATGAAATTCATATATTTAAAATGAACTTAATCTAATAAATATATTCTTGTTTCATCTATTACTATACGATTTTAATTGAAATTTGTTGAATATTAATATAATTGCTCAACTAATAAAGTTCATATTTTAATAAATCACAGCTTTATTCTCGATTATAAAATTAAGAATAGCCTAAAATTAATTAAGAGTGAAATAACTAATTTTCACTATTTGTGACAATAATTAAATGGAAAAAATTTTAATCATTCAAATACCATTCTACCATCTTATTTGTTTTTTTATTTTTAAGATTGAAAATTGTTTACAATTTAAAGAATTCAAACCTTTCTTAGGCAAAAATAAAAATTTTAAGACAGTATTATAATTATATAAAAGAAAAAAAGTAGAGATTAACTTTCATTTTTAGATATATTTGAATAATAGAAATAATGAAGTTCTCTTTATTGATTCAAGGATTTTAAGATGAAATTAACCGCCCTAAATTAATGTTTAAGAGTTTTATAAAGCTTACAAATTAACAACAATTTTATATTATAATTAAATAATTTATATAAGTTAGAAGTGTATTCTACATGAATAATTTAAATTACCACATTTGAAAGTTATCCTATTGTTGATATCAAATTTATTTGGCAATGTGTAAAAATGCTTAATTAATAAAAGGACTATCTTTGCAACGAAATTTTATGATTTTGTAGTAATTGATTGTTCTTCTTTTTTAAATAGAACATTTTTAATATGATTAATATTAAGTTATTAAATTAAATTCATTTATTTATTTATGTATTTAAAAGAATCTTCATTATTGGCTGCAAAATAGCTATATAATTATTCACATAATAATTAAAAAATTTTAAAATTAGACTATCTAACATTGTTTTTTAGAATACCTAAATAGAACTTAGGTTTTTCCAACTGTTAAAAATATTAATTATTAATAGATTTTTTTTTGAAGAATAATTAACTTAAATAGTAGATAGAATAATAAAATAATATCAAATATTGAATCGATGAAAAGTATCACTAAGTTTTTCTTTTGTAATAGGTTTAGTTAACACAGTATTGAAACCTTCATGAATACTTCTTTATTAATCTTGAATACTACAGAAAGCAGTAACAGCGATGACAGGTATGGTTCGAGTTAACTATATTTTATATTCCATTTATCTAATTCTCTAAACAGCTTCCCAACCACTCATAATTGGCATATTTATATCCATCAATATACACTTATATCCAATACAAGTAGATTTATTGCATCGATTCGCTAATTGGATTTCAATTTTTTCAATAGCTTCTTTTCCATTAAATGCAATATCAACATCGAAACCGAATTACTTTACAAGATGGGAAAGAATATGGATATTGAATTATTCATCATCAACAATTAATGTCTTTTTACAATTACAAATGCTTGGTTCTATATTTTCAAACTTCTCCCCCATAGAAGCTTTGCCTAATTTCTTATAATTCAATACTCGAACTTATTAGGTACTTTATTATTCTAAAAATGGAATAGTATGAATAAATGAATTTTATAAATTACTTTACTCTTAATGAATTTACTCTTCATCATATTGTAATACGAAATAAAATTATGTTCCTTCACCTAATTAAGATTCAACAGAGAGATAATTTTAATGCATTGGAGCCAATAATTTGATTATTTATTTACATACTGATAATCCTAAACCAATACCAACTGATTATTTAGATACTTTCTCATCTTCATCAGAAACATGTAACTAATCTATACTTTTATATTTATACCTTCTTTCTTAAAATACATAACTCATTTTCACTCATCCCTATACCAGTATCGTATATAGAAACTTATAATAAATTTGTATCCTAAAGATTAAATGAATGTACATCTTCAATTCCTTACATTGAGTCTATATATTCCTTTTTCTATACTTTTATTGTAATCCCTCCTTTCATAGTAAATCGAATCGCATTTGCTATCAAATTTATCAATACTTAGCATAATCTTTATCGATCTCCTATTATTATATAAGAAACCTCTGGTAATTCAACATTTATTGATATTACCTTTCTTTCTATCTAATCTTTTAATAAATCAACACAATCCCAAATTACAGAATTAATTTCAAATTTATCTGATTTCATTATTAGTCTCTCCTCTAATATGTCTCTATAATCAAAGAAATCATAAATCTTATACAATTAAAGATTTGTATAACGCAAAGCTTATTCTAATTACAATGAACAAGACTACTAAGAAAATTATTTATCCTAACATTGTTTGATAAATCCATATATAGCATTCAAATTAGTGAGTAATTCATGAGATATTGATCTCAAAATATTCTTCTTTATTGATTCAAGTTTCTTAAGTTTTGCTCTTAGCAGAATTTAATTGACTTCATGAATGAAATATATTTGCAAACCATCATCATTATCAAATAATCTACAATTCTCTAAAACATTCACTAAAAATTTCATTTTATGATTGATAATAGGTTTAACTTTAGGAGTTATATTCAAATCTAATAATGATTATTTATGATTCGAATTATGATGTTCTTTAACTTCTTTCGATAATAGTTAATCAACCGAAATTTTACGACTGGGTGTCATATATATAGAAGATTTATTTAATCTGATTTAATTTTGAGATTTTTTACGAGAACTCTTTTTTCCTGCTGAATGAATCATTACTTGAGGAGAATTATTAAATTCAATCTTCATAGTTACATCTGATGTGAATTTCTTTTTTATAATACTATCATCTTCTGAATTCTTGAAAGATTAAAAAAACTTTTATTATTATTAGTGAATTTTAGGGGGTGCTTCTTACATTTCAACAGAAAATCGATTTTGAGATAATAATTAAGTTTTTTCTTTACAATAGGTAACGTTTTTAATTTTATATTAATCTTCTAGATCAAGATCTTCATCATCAAAATCAAAGACTGTCTAATCATTGTTTAATTCATCCAATTATAAGTTTTATAAAAAACTTAATTAATTTCTAGCAGTATGAACAATAGGAGCTTTCTCTGGTGATTAATCAGTTTCACTTTAATTTGTACTTTCTAATTTGTTAGCTAAGTTATCAAATATCTTATTTGAATATAGCAAGAAATTCTTATCTTTATGAACAATACACATAGCTTGAGGAGTAGAATCAATTATCATAAATAAGGCTTATAAATTTTAAAAATGTTGTAAATAAAGGAACTCTTTTCTTAAAATTTAAAAGATTATAAGGATTGTTGAAAGGCACATTCCTTCAATTGAATTTAAATTAGTGAGGAAGAAGTTCTGAATAAAAAACAATATAATTGTTAAAAATTTCATATGTAAAGTAGAGTACATACTCTGATAAATAATAGATATTGTAACATAGAGCATAAAATAATCGTTCTCTTATATTATGTAGCAAATCCAATACATACAGTATTATTGAATAAAAGGTAATAATTAAATGAAGAAATGTGATTCATCTGAAATAGCTTTGGAAATTGATAAAAATAAGAGAATATGAATACATATTTGTATTGCTAAGGTTATTTAAATATACAAAGTATTTGCTAGAATGGACAATCTAATTATGATAAAGATTAATTAAAGTATTATAATGGGTCTGAATGTTGTATCAGCCCATTAAAAGTGATTATGCCATCTCCATTGTTAATATTAATCCCATTTTAAGATTTTTAAATGCTTATAAAAAGCCTTCTTGATAATTTGCCATTGGGGCATGATTATTATTTTAAATATATATACATAAAGGATAATGTATATTAGATGATTGTAAAATATAAGTATATATGCTAATCAATAATATCTTTAATTAATTTTATCTCTAACTTGCTTTTAGAGTACTCAAACTTTATATAAATAATGAAGGAAGAAGACAATAATATCAAATAAGTAACCTAATCTAACAAAAGTAATCTTAGGAAGAAAACCAATTTTTTATACCACACTTTATGATACCAATAAACTACACTCCGATTCCAAACGAAATAGAGAATTATAAAATGGCGATTCATCATTTAACTGAGGAAAATCACTTTTTGAGAAAACAACTCCAAAACAATTAAGTTTCAGACATTCTCTCTTTGAATGTAGAATAACTAAAGGATGAAGTATTCAAAATGATTGACTATCTGATGAAAAATCTCAATTATCTTCCAAAAGAATAAATCTTCGCATACAGAAAAACTATTCGATTATGCACATAAAGAAGTGCGCTTAAAAGAATCTATTTCCTTATATTTACAAGATATTTATCAGTAAATTTGCATTCAATCTATAGGCTGAAAAAACCAAAGAAGAAATGATAAAATTCATTATTCGCAAAAGTGTGAAGTATTAGAAGTCCACTAGTACCATATAGAAACACGAAATGAAGAAAATGAATAATGCATTCGTTTAGCAATTATTTCTATCAACTCAATATCAATAACATTACTCAAATTTTCTAAGTAAGAATATTGTATTCCATCAAACTTAGGTTAATACTTATAGCTAGCACTTGATGAAAACAAACACAAAATTCAAAAATATGTGAATTTTATTGTGGAATCCATTTAAAATGGCTAAATTGATGTATTATTTTATTAAATTTTATTAGGATGTATTAAATTATAAAAGATTTCCGTGGTTGAATGAGTGGATACAATAATCTGTTTAGATTGCTAAAGATCTTTAATTTACTAGCAATTCCAAATGTTTAGAAAACAAAAAAAAAATTAAACTCTGATTAAGTACTTAATTGGATATAATAATGAAGAAATAAAATAGTTTGTATTAGCTATTAATATTATAATTTTATCAATATTTCATAATAGTTGAACTAATTCAACTATCTTTTTTAAAATCAATCTTATTTTCCATAATTATTCAATTCCTTTAATAGTAATTCAATTAAGAATAAACATATAAAAAAGAGAAATAACTTCCAAATAATATTAAGAAATGCCTTAAATTTACAGAAGTAAGATAACAGAATTTAAAAATCTTGATTAAATTTTCTTCAGAAAAGTATTTTTTTTTATATTTAAGAACTCAACCATAATTAAACTTCATCTAAAATTTAAATTAATTTAGTGTCAATTTCTGTTTGATAGACTAGACCCAATTTATACCACAATTCTCATAAACAAATTTGGATTTATCACTGATGAAATATATATTAATTAATTCTAAAAAATTATTAATATTTCCTAAGCTAATTATTAAATAAGATAAATTGTATTTATGATATTACTATAGCCATTATGAATGCAACAGGTTTAATCAAATAATAAAAGTATATGATTAATCTTAAAAATATGAAAATAGAATTATTATCATCATAATTTATTATAATCATTTTCTTAAATCTGTTAAAGATTTCACAATGTTTGTCAATCTTGCGATTTCTAAGTCTTTAGCTTCTATCAAATTTTCATAAAATGCACTTCCACTAGATTGTGCTGACTTTTATCTCATTGATAAATCTAATTTTGCGTATTCGCCTATTTAATTCTAATAATTTCTTATTTCCTATTCGTAATTCAATCTCTCTTGTTTTAATAATTATTCCATCTTTCTTACTTCTTATTTTAAATTACTAATTTCCTCTTTCATTTATTAATCTTATATATTATTTGTCTTCTGACGTTATGTATTCTATTATTATTATCTATCTAATTCTTTTCGATACTGAAAATTTTCATTCTGTAAAAATTTCAATTGCTTTTCATATTATTCTGAAGTCTCTATATTCTAATATTTTAATTTATACATACTTCTTATTTAAATTCTTCAAAATATTCAATCTTTTATCTGAATTCATTCACCTACAGATTTAATTATTTACATATTTTTTATGCTTTTCTAATATTATTATATTAATAAAATACTCCAAATCATTATTTTTATCTTGCAAATCTTATTCTATTTATCTTAATTAATTAATCTTCAATTCCAATTAAGCTTTTAGATTTCTTGCTTCCTCTTTTAAAATTTTGTTTATCTCTTATTACTTATTAAATTTATCCTTAAACTCCTATTCCATTGCTTCTGTTTATTTTGTGTATTACTTTTACAATAAACTTAAATCATTTAATAACCTAAAACTTTTATAATATAAATTTACTTATCATTTTCATGTTTCATCTAATTACATTATTATTATAATTATTGATTTTTATGTTATAATTGAGATAACATTTAATCACTTCCTTCATTATTGTTTTCTAATTATTTTTTTATTTGATATGCATCAGTTAATTTATCTTCATAAGTTCTTATCACATCAATCTATTTTCTAGAAAATTCCTCTAATTCACTCAATGTCTTATGTAACTATTGAATTTCTGTCTCTCGTAATTACAATTAACTTGATATATGTGCTAATTCTTCTTATAAATCCTCTATTTAAGCAACAGCCTCTTCATGCTATTTTTTATTCTCTGTTTGTAATTATAATAATTATTTTTTTTTTTCATCTAATTACTTTTTCATATTTTATTTGTCTTATTCAACTAATTAATCTTAGCTCTATCGTTAGGACTTTAGATTTTTAAAATCTTTTTCAATAACATCCAATTACTATTTATAAGTTTTATTTTCAAATTCTAAGAGTGAATTCCTATCATTTAATTTATCTATTACATCCTATTGCTCTAACTATTTTGATTATAACAAATTCAAATATTCTCTTTTTTTATTCTCTAACTCTTTTTCCATTTATTCTATAGTCTATCTTTACTTTTTATCTTATTATTCATATAATTTGATATTTTAATCTTATTATGTAATTGTCAACTCCATTTCTTATATTAAATTATTTTTATCTTCTTTTTATTACAATTACTCCTATTAAGCTAATCTTAGTTTACGAGTCAATTAATCATTATCATTATGTAATCCCTACATTAATTATTGAATTTAAACTAATTATTCATTTAGTTATTCATTTTCTTAAATTAATTTTTCAGTTTACTCTGAATAAAATTTTTTTAATTGATCAAGTTGCTACAACCAATTTTGTCTTTATTATTTAATTTCAATGGACACTTGTTACTCAATATTAATAGCACTCAAATTTACATGCATTGAATCAATTTCATTTTTACAAAATTTAAGTAATTTTAATGCCTCATCTGAATCAGCCATATTTTAAAGCTCATTTAAAATAATTGTTAATCTATTTAAACCTTCTTCAGAGATTATCTTAATTTTTGTACTTTATGATTATATTTATTCAAATTATTATGATTTCTTTTTTAATTAAATAGCTAAATCATTCAATTTTGATTAAACTTTAGAATTATGTTTTTCTATAGTTAATTGTAATTCTGAATCCATAAGATCATCAGGAACAATGAATACTGGTATTTCAGAATTAAATGCTCTATCCAATTCTTTAGTTCGTGTGTCTTTAGCTTTTTTAACAATAGTTTATAATTATTATAATTGATAAGACAATTATTTAGTATCACTTAATTACAATTAATTCTATTACTATTCTAATCTTACTTATTCTAGTTAAATTTCAAGGCCTTTGATTAGATTTTCAACAATTTCTTCTTTGTGTTGAAGGATCTGAGTTAAATCACGAATTATATTTGAGATATTTAAACATAACATTTAAGTATCATCAGTAATCAATTGATCATAATCATATGTGGATTCCTATTGATTTACATATTAAGAAAGAAAAGACTTGGTTTATTAAGATAAGGTTTAAAGTGTATTAATCAATTGTTATTGAAAACGAGGTTGTTTATTTGAACTGGAATATTTAGTAGCACTAGAATATTTTTGAGCACTACTACTATATTATTATTTGATGGGAGATCTTAATTAGGAAGGTTATTGATACGATTTCAATTATTCTTCTTTCATTTGTAATTCATCAAGTAATATTTATTTATCATCCCTAGATTATTTCAATTCTTAAATCAGACGATCAGCTACTTCTTATAATTCTTGAGTTTATTTTTATTCATGCTGTAACATCTTTTAATAGACTACATCCTATTAGGATTGTTTTAGATATTCAATTTTAGATTATAATTATTAATTAGCTTTAATTTATTATTTTATTGTATTAGTTATAGTTTGTTCATTTGGAGTAACATTTAAGAGAGAAGCCAAATTAATTACTAATTAATTTGAACCTTCTTATTATTTTTTTTAGAGTACTGTATATTTATCAAATAAAGAAACTAATTTTCTACCATAACATACACAAGAGTATTATAGTTGAGTGATAAGATCTTTATCATTTTTATATTCTTTTATGATTGGGAGTGAATCAAAAAGCTAATTAGCATAAGTTTGTATTTTCAAAAAATCGTTGTCTAATTTCATTTATAATTTTATTAATTAAATAAAAAAAAAAGAAATGGATGGGTGTTGTTGTAGATTATGAGATAGATTAAATTCATAAATATAATATATACAATATATACAATATATACATAATAATATATAATAATATATAATATCAAATATCTAAATTATATATTTTTACTCTAATTTCTTAATAATGTGCTGGTGTAATTTCATTGATAGGTTTACCATCCAAGAATTATTATGTATTATTACTAGTGAGAACCTGATAATAATATGTTAGATAATCTAATAATAAGATTCCAGTTTCATTTTATTCATTGATTCTAAGTTAATGATTCAATTCTCTAATAAGTTCTCTAAGATTAGAAATATCACCTAATAAAGACATTCCATAAAAGTCTTTATATTTAATATAGATATCTCGAAAGGATTACTTATTAAGGATGGATATTATAATCTGATGATTGAAATTGATGACTTTAATGTTATTGATTCCTTTTTCATATGCTTCTTTAAGCTTGTAATAAATATTCCACATACTTTATTCATGATATCCATAACTTCTCTTCCAAAATAGCCCATAATCTTTTCTCTTAGTCTTGGTGATTGTAGATACTTAATATGATCAATGAGTTAACAAGTACGATAGATAAATTTGCATTAATTAAGGAAATTACATATAATTTCTTCAGATTAAGATTCTAGATTAGATGTATCAATATATAATTACCATAATGAAAACTTTAATAAGTATGTTATACAATAGTACCTATTCTTTCTTTGACTTGATTAGATTTTTAATGTTTGTGTGCAGTAGACCCACTTCTAGTACATTATTATGTTTGGTTGACTCTAACAACATTCATATTAGTGATAGATTTATTAAATGAATTACTAACAAGTGCTCCTCTCATTTTATTGAGAGCAGTTGTATTTCTACGGAGAAATAGAGGATGTTAATCTATATCAAAAAGAGATAAACGTTAAGTTTCATCTACTTATAAAGCTCTTCTTAAGAAATCTTTAGATTCTTCTGAAATCGGCACATTTCTATTAAAATGTAATTATGAGACAGATTCTTAGAATTCACTTTCAGAATTAATAACCCATGGACATTAACCATATAACATTTAATAATAGACAACACCAATGCTCCAAATATCGCTTTTCTCAGAATATTTATTTTCTAAATAACTTTCAGGACTCATATAAATTGGAGTGCCTACTTTATAAAATACTTTATCTTTAGGTGCTTTAATCATTTTAGAGAATCCATAATCAGCTAATTTAGGAATTGAATTTTTAATAAGAACATTAGTTGGTTTAATATCTCTATGTATGACACCTTTTCTAATTTGTTCTTTAAATCCATTAATAATATGTCTAAGGATTTTAAAGGCTTCTACTTCTGGTATGATACCTTATTATTAAATTAATTTGCCTAAATCTCCTTGATTACAATATTCCGTAATGATATATGTATTATTGTTAGTATGATAGTAATCATGTAATTTTACAACATTTACAGATTGTATTAATTTTAATGCATTGATTTCCTGATTAATCAATTATCTTTCTATCTCATTGTTGATTGCTTTTACATCAATTACTTTTACAGCTACAACTTCTCCTGTATTTTCGTCTTTACCCTTATATACCTTAGAACTGTATCCTCGTCCTATCTGTTCATGCATTAAATAAGTATAATGTTCGATTTTTTTCTTAGGAATAAGGTTTTATTATGTAGGGGGCAACATTAGTAAATAAATTAATCAATCATCATCATGTTTTATTCTTTTAAAACAATTCTCCCCAAAAATTATCCCTCTTGGTCTCTAATCTTTCACATATGTCTCATCATCCTATTCTTCTTCATCTTCATCTCTTCTTCTTACTATTCTTCCTATTTCCAATTTTATATCATCTCTCTATTATTACTATTACTACACTTCATGTTCTTCTGATTCATCCTATTCATAATATCTTGAATCTTCATTCTCTTATTTCTAATATTATTCTACCATTTTTACAAATACATTATGATTCTATAAATTTAAACTTCTTACTATCAATATCTAAATTATTAAATATTATTACTATATGCCATAATAAACTCTTTTTCAATTTTATGCATTTCAATATATCTCTTATTTATCCTTCCACTATTCCATCCATTCTTCTACTCACTCCCAATTATACCAATGCATTACAATAAGGTTTCAATATATCACATATACCTGTTGTACTAATATACTTGAAATGTTTTAACCCTGACATCAATAAAAACTTATTCTTTATTGACTTCTTTTATTCTATATTTAAAATATTTAAAATCTTATGTGAAAGCATCACCAAATCTTCAGATATCTACTTTTATTATTAACAAATCCATTATACAAGCTCTTACAATACAATTCCTCCCTCAATATTCAAAGGCTCTTATTATAAACATTTTCTTAACCAATCTATACATTCTCTTTACACTGTTTAATTTGAACTTATTATTTATATTATATCTATTATTATACTACTCAAACCATTCATCTCACTAAATAATAAACCTCCCATACATTCCCAAAATAAATCATTATTTATTCTCAAAAAATCCTATACATATTATTAATTCGAATTTGCTATTAAAATTGTTATTTGTAATGTTGTCCAAAAAACTTACGATAATTATTTTTGATTTACTTTCTCTAAAGTATTTTAATATAATATTTTAAGTAAATTAGATTCTGTTATACAATCCACAAAAGCATCATTCAATTACTTTATAGCTAGAAATGCTTTAAATTATAGAAAAAATTCATTTATAAATTTACATTTTACTTCAAAGTCATCCATAAAATTTTCTAAAAATCTTTAAAATTAATCCTTATGATGAATTAACAAACTTTCAAGTATCTTTTGATTATTTTCATGAATATAAAAATTAAACTCATTATTAAGCGGGTCTTCAATATATAGGTAATAAGCCATAACACTTTCTTTCAAGTATGATAATCTATAATTAAAATGTATTTTCTCTATTATTGAATCCTCAAATTCAGTTATTTGATGGTATTTCAATTCATTTTTTAAAAAATTTCTATAAGAAACTCTTTATACTCCAGTATTCTCAGAATGATCTATAAATATAATAATATTTTAAATTACATTCCATTATACCAAATAATGTCACATAATATTTGTCACTCAATAAACTCTTCATCACATTTTCATTTTTTATGTAAACTAAAAATTATATTGAATAAATACTTAAACTTCTAATCACATAATGTAATTGCTCAAGTATATGATAATTAGATTACATTTCTGCATCTTCAAATATTCTTTTTATGGCATCCATGAATTTATTTAGAGGATCATTAGTTATTTTCTAAATTATTATTTCTGGACTGTCACTTATCTATGATAGAATTGCTTCTAAATTTTAATGCGATGGTAAAATTGGATATGCCGATTCAACATCATCGTAACGAAAATGTCTTCTACTATTTTATAATTAATTCCAAATTTCAGATGCATACCTAGAATCAATAAAACTTATTGCTATATCTAAATTGATTTCACTTTCCTACCATTAAATTATATTTTCTCCCTAAAACTCATATGTAGTTTCTTAATTCACCTTTAAATTTAGGCACCATTCTTCCTAATTTGTATTCAAATGAGCAAATTACACTAAATTGCTACATTACTTTTTTTATGTTTCTAAAATGCATCTAATGAAAGTAAGATTAACACCACCATCTGTATGCACAATTTATACATACCCTATACAAATTTCCTCCCATTAACTCTCAAGCACATAGATTTTAGCTCTCTGTTAACTATTCATTTATTATTAATGTTATTTAATTTTAATTTAAGTCAAAAATACAGAATTAAATCATTACCAATCTTATAGATTTTCCATTCAGAAATTCTATTTTATCAATGACAAATATCAAATCTATATATTTTATTTTTTAAAAAAACAAAAAATACAAATAATCAACTTAAGCAAATTTTGTAGTCTATATAAAAAAAATAATAAACCACAAATAAATTTTATAAATCAAAAAATCATCTATATAATTGTTTTAGGATCAAACTTTCCATTTTATGTCTATTCATCATTCTTCCTTATTCTTTGAGATAAAAAGAACATAAATAAACTAAATTGAAAATTTAAATTAATTTACTATGTGAAATAGTATCAAATGAACTGATTTTTATTATTCCAATTTTGAATTGATTTATTAAAATTAATAAAATTTACTTTAAATTCTAAAGATCATTTTGATCATATTATCAATAAGATTATTCTCTCATTTTTTATCTAATTTTTCCATAATTATTTTGATTTTTAATTATTATATAATAAGTTTAACATCTATTTCTTAAATGATGTCTTTTAAAATTATATAAATTTTAAAACAAGCTTTTTTTAAATGAATGTTAATATCTATTAACCTTTTTTTTTCAACATCTTCTTATCTTTGACATGATCCAATTCTATGATTTAAATGCATATACAAAAAGGGCATTTTAATGAAAAAGAAATTTCATTACTTTATGATTTTGATTTTCTAAACTTTATAACTTCAAAAATTAAGCTTAATTTTTATACAAAACTTATTTAAATTAATTAAAGCATATATTTTAAAACAAAAAAAATTCAAAAATTTATCAATCTCATCTATGCTTACTAAGAATAAGATTAATTCATATTTAAATTCACAGGAGAATTCTATAGTTTCTCTTGAATATTTGATATAAAAGACAATCTTTATAGAAAATCTGTAGAGCAGAATATTTCTGTATAAAATGAATATCCTCATTCTTAAAAAAAATAATATTTACTATTTAAATATAACTTAAAAAAATTAACTCAATCAAATTATGAGCAAATTTATTTTCCTATCTAAAATCAGAAGTATAAATTTATGAAATACTACTGTATTTATAAAAGTTCTTTATAAAAAAGAAAAAGCTTGTTGTAATATGTGATTATATAATAAAATCATGTGTTGATTAGGTTTTTTAAAGTGTAAATAAAAAAAAAGAGAAAAATTATAAATCGCTTCTTAATCAAGCAATCAGAAGCTCTGAAAGAAAAAATAGAGATGACGAATACAATTATAATCAATTAATATAATATTCTATATATATTAATTAAAAAGCTAATTATTGATTTTCTATTATCATATATTAATAAAATATGAATTTTAGATAAGAAGCTGATATAATTGTGGATTCTATCTTCAATTAAATAAATATAAGTTAGAACGAAAGAATAATTAACAATTTGAGGGATTATTAATAGCTTATAAAAGAAAATTTGTTTGAGTTAGATAATTAGGAAGATGATTTAAAAATTAAAGAAGTTTATCTATCTAAATTAAAAAAATTATAATAATTTGCTGAAAACTCTAATAATCTCAGATAAGTTTGGAAATATATGTCATTTAAAATCTACTCATAATAAGATTAATTTATGGAATTGGTTAAAAATCTGCCAAATTTGATTCAGTATCACTTATAATAGAAAGTGATGACTTTAAGTTCATTTAAAAGTTAGGAATGTGCAGAATTATTCTCTCATTAACTTGTTACATTTGAAATTAAATTAATATTAGATGAATCAAATTTAGCATAAAATATTGAAAAAGAGGATTGTGTTGGATGTATAACTTATGTTTCTCCAGAAGTTTAAAATGAAAGACTCTTTAGAATAGTAATGAATTTAAAAGGATTTATTAGTAAAGTTAAAAAATTAGATTAATTGATTAACAATTGTAATTTAGATGCTGAACTTTTAAAATTCACATTTGATAACAAATCAAAGAAAATTACATTGTGGAGCCAAGATGATAACATTAGCTATTAAATTACAAGAAAGTATTTAATTTATTGATTATAAGATTGACTCTTGATGATGTACCTTAATTTGAATAAAAGATCTATTTACATTCTGGTATGATAATTTAATTAACTTAAAATTTTTATCTTAAAGTTAATGCTTGTGTTAATGAAAATAGAAGTTAAGGAGATTTTAACTAAAATTTTACTCCTTGTGTGAATAGTTCAGAAAAAATTTAATTAAAACCGATATTAATTTCTGATAATAAAAGATGGATCTCAATAAATAATGGATTTGAAGATGTAATTTATTATCCAAATTAAATTCCATTAAAAATTTCAAAACATTAAACACTTCCAAAAGAATTAGAAGTACTATTATAAAATGATGGTTTTGGCCATTATATTATAGTAGTAGGAAATTGTTCAGCTTTCTATCCTAGGATTAAAAGTAAAAAAAGTTAAGGTAACGCTCTGTAACTCATTACTACATAAGATAATTTTAATTTAGGAATAATTTACTAAGATAATATTAGATTATAACTGAGTTCTGATTTATTATCAGTTTGGAAAGGCTTAGAAATTTTTGATTTATGAGATTTATAAAATTATTAATTTTATTTTTTATCAACTATTATTTAATAATAAATAGATCAAATTTATAGGGTCTAGTATTTTAGACTTAAATATACCAAATAAGTCTTTTATTTAATTATCTTAAACATATTAAGATAATTATATATTTTTTAAAAAGTATTTTACTAATTAATCCATATTTTCTGAATTTTCTAAAATCACAATAAGTATTGATCTAAAATCTTACAACGAGATTGTAGGTAAATCTTGAGGATTAAAGAACTTAAATATTATAATAAAATACTTTAATAAAAAAGTTTATTAAGGACTGTTCTTTAAAATGTTAACTTATAATAATCTATTTAAATAATCTAAATTAATTATAGTAAACTTTTTCTTATTCATTATGAGGATTAATATCAAATGCCAATAAAATTCTATCCTAAACTACCCTTGATAATTCAGTAAAACTTAAATATGATTCTCTTAAAATAAATTGGTATATAAATGGATCTATATGATACTTTTTTGTTTTTACTTTTTCCTGCTTCTTTGATATCGTAAATATCATTATATTGTTATGTATTTTTAACTAGTACTTTGAATTCTTTGATAGTGTTCATTTCTTTGTATACTTCTTTCTTTGTTTATCTTATTACTCTTGGATTTATGGTCAATTATTTTTAATGTTCAATAATATTGCTAATTAAGCTATTATTCATAGTTATTTCATCACATAATAAACTTTCATCAGCTCTTTTAGTGTTTTATGAATCCTATTCGTAAGACTTTAATGTTTTCCTATACAATGCTTGAATATTCATAGCTCCCTGAGTAATTGTAGCTTATTTCATTATTTCTAAATCCCCTTCTGTAAAAATGTTATCTAATTTGCTAAAATGAAGCAACTCTTATTTAGTAGAATCATTTAATTCGTATCTCTTTCTAGGTGTTTTAGTCAAATTTTAAAGATGAAAAGGTAATAATTTCTATAACTTCTTATCTGATTTCATTAGATCAATCATATAACTCTTGTACTTGTAATTTTTGTACCCTTTAACTTCTAGATACTTTGGGGTGTTTGCTATTTTCGATATTTTAGGAAGACTAAAATGTGAAGATGAAGTATTTCGAGATATTTTACTTTAAGACTCGTTCATATAATAGGATTATTAATGATTATTGAAATACATATTTTACAATTAATTCAAATATCATATCAACCCTTTTACTTAATGTTAAAATTAAACTTAAGATTCCTTCAAATTTTCATTTTATTTTAACATGAAATTAGTAATAAAAATATAATAAATCACTTTTACCCTTTCTTAAATCTTCATTTTATTAATTATGCTGGAGTAACTTAAATACATTTTTTTATTATAAATTGTTCACTTTAACATCATTTGATATTGAAATAATAGAAATATATGAAGTAATAACTTAATTTTATAATACTATTTAATTAATCATTAGGAGAAGAAATCATTTTATCAATGGATTGTTTTCTAAATTTTATTTGAAATCTATATTTTGAATCTCTTTAAAATACTAATTCCATCAAAAATAATTTTATAAGAAAAATATTTTCTTGTAAATTCAGATTTAACAAATAATTTAATATTTATAAAAAATAAGTATAAATACAAATCATGAATGAAATCTTCCTTGTAATTTTTGTTTAGAAATTTATAATAGATTTAGGATTTGATATATCTATTTAATGAATTATATAAATTACAAGTAAAGTTTTAACTTTATCTAATCTATTAATTATAAATATGTATTAATTTAAATAAATTTTTTTTTTGTATTAAACATTTTTGTTTGTATATTAATTAAATTGTTGTAAACGTATTAAATCATAGATATATTTTGAAGAAAATGTGATTTTCATGTTATTATCTCAATTATACCCTAATAAATTGTTGGGTAATTATTCTAAAAATCCGTCTAAATATGCGTTCTTAGTATAAGTTAAGAAAATTTAAATAATTGAAATATATTAGAAAAAAATCTAAAATGTTAATTGTGTTAGAAAATCTGAAGTTTCGATTTTAGAAATCTTGACATAATTACTTTATAAATAGCAATATAGTTTAGATTATTAATTATTGTAATTCCTTCAATAGATGGAACATTCACAAGTGTTTTTCTATATTCGTGTTTTTTTTTTCACAATAGGATTACATTCACAATTTTCTGATAATAATATTTCATTCTATTTAATAACAGTTCGAAGATTTGTAAAAATTTCATTTTGTTTGTTTTATATTTGATTATCAGTTTTGAGTCTAATGAAAATGAGAAATATAATTACGATTGGAAATAAAAATTAGATTTTTTGAGGGTTTTAAAATGATGATTTTGAGAAGGATATCGATGATAGTTCATCCTAATTTAAATATATTATTTAATACAATGATTTAAGCAATCAATAAATAAATTATTTATATACATCATTCACTTGGGATATTAAATGATATGAATTGAGATTTCTTGGATTTTTTATTTTTTTATGTTTTCTATTGTTCATAACATTATTTAATTTAAGAATCTTATCCAAATGTATTTTCTTAGACTTGGATTTGATTATATTTAGGTGTAGAAGATTACAAAACATTGTCATCACCGAATAATTATTTGATTGTTTATTCATTTGTAAATCCTTTAAAAAGTAACTAAGATGATAAAATATAAAAGTATATTTACTTAATTTATAAGTATTTATAAAGTGGTTTCTGATTAAGACATTGATTTAGAGTAAAGTAAGATATTCATAATTTCTCTTGGATTTGTAGTATATCCAATATTTTTGAGTAACATGTATGTTGAATCAAATAAATTTAATTAATTAGAATCTTCTAATGTCATTTCTGTCATTAACATATATTCATCTTATGTTTGAATAGCAGCAATATCTCCAAAATAAATAAAGTAATAATACAACTCACCATCTATTTGTATTCTTTGAATTTCAAATATGAGATGATCTAAGTTATGTTCTTTTAATTTTTAGGAAAAGACTTCACAAAATATTTGTAGATCAATTTAAATTGGCAATACAAGAATCAAATTTTTACTCCAAATTAAAAAATAATCTAAAATTTCTGAAATGGAAGGAAAAACATTATCTATAGATAATTTGTCATCAATAATTTAATAATCTGGTTAGATGAAGAAGACATCATTTTAAATAATTGGCAATTTAGGTAAAGTGGCTTATAAAAATTCACATTTTGAATTTAAACTACAAATTGTAGTATTATGAATAGCATTTTTTATTTATTACATAGAAAAGTTACTTCCCAAAACAAAAGTATTAGTTTCATATGAGAATTAGATTGCATTAAAGCCACTTCTTGATAGACCATCTACAATAAATGATGGTTTAACTTCTCTCATTCTTCTACCTATATATTATAAAACTTTTTCTGGTATTAAATAACTTTATTCATCTTATTCATATTTGACATCATTATCAATATATGATATAAAGACAGTTAAGGGATTCTTTTCTGTTAATTTTGATTTTCTCATTGAAAAATCAACAAAAAAATTCTTTTAGGTCATTCTAACCAGCATATAGTTTAAGGTATCAAAATTACCAAAAAGCTCTAAAGTTGTTTTTTCTTCTTTTTTAATTGTTATTTATTTTTCTTCAATTATTTATTCTTCTTCTGAATCTAGAGCACAACATATGAAATTCCAAAATTTTTTCATATATTAATTATGTCATAATTGAAAAAATTTCAATAAGCAGACTTTCAAGTTGTTTATGCAATAAATAATAAGACTTAATTGTAAAAGAAAGGAGGTGATTAATTTATATGCAAGTAAGTAATACCTTAAAAAAAAACATCAAAAGAATTGATAGATGAAATGGATTAAATGAAAATTCGATTATCAAAATCAGGTATTTATATTCCTGAAGGATATTGGGAAGAAAAGCAAGGAGTGTGTTTTGTTTATAAGAAATTTAAAGTATCAATGGCAGAATTAATAAAATTACATAAAAGATAAGGATTATATATTCCAATGAATAAAATGTAAACATATGTAAATGAATATACAAATTGGGTTGATAAAATTCATAAATCAAAGAAGAGTGAGAATTAGAGATATTATCATGGTCGTATAAAACCATCAAATTTATTTGAAGATGATGAGAATGAATGTGTGATTACAGATTTTACTCCTTTTTCAAATGAGAATGTAGAATTATATTTACCTCCTGAATCTATAGCAGCATTAAAAAAGAATTAAAGCTAAAGATTTGCATCTGGTAGTTCAGTAGCAGATTTATTTGGAGGAGATCCAATTAAAGTTGATATTTGGTAATTGGGTTTAACTTTTCTTTAAATGGCTTCATTAAGAGATATTGAAGAATTAGTTATATTTAGAGATACAAATGTTTAAGATTCTGCTAAAGCAATTGAAATTAAAGAAACTATTAAAAAGTTATATGGATATCATTTTTTAAGTTTAATAGAAAGAATGTTGGAAAGAAATCCTTCAACAAGATCACCAATACATGAATTAGAAGATATGATCTAAGATTTCTTCAGTGATAATGTTATAGCACATGATGAGAATTAATTATAACCTAATTCAGATTTATTATTAGATGAATTAAAATTAAGAGTTACTTAATAAAAATAACAAACAGTTATATAATATTTATCTAAATATCAATTGTAACCAGTTAGTAGAAAAATAAAAGCAACTAATTTTTGGGATGCATTAGATGATATCAAAATACCAATCAGTTTTAAGGAAAAAGCAGCTTTATTATAAATTTATGATTTGTAAAAGAATGATGAAATAGATCTATCATCATGGGTTTAAAGACAAAAAGAAGTTATTAAATTAGGAGAGTTAAATCAAGATTAAGATAAAGAGTTATTTGAAATGTTGAAAGATATTAATACTTATATAATAGATAGTAATATTAATTTAATAGAAATTTTAAAAGCAAACGATTAAGAGTAATTAGGATATTTACCTTTTGATTAATTTGATAATCTTATTAGATAAGAGGGAATCAATTTAAATCCAGAGGATATTCCTATTTTGAAATTAAAGTATGATCCAAATAAGAAGAACATTATTTATTATGAATACTTTTGTGATGATATCAAATAAACAAATTAGTAATAATTAGGGTTGGAAGAATTAAAAAAGAAAATGTATAGAGCTATTAGAGAAATATATAATGTATTCTTTTCATTTTTTAGAAATTATGATACTAAATCAAAGGGATATCTTGGATATGATGATATTTACAAATTTTTCAATGAAATTAAATATCAACCCACACCTGAAATTCTTAAATAATTATTATTTAATTTAGATCCAGAAAATAAAAAAATGATAACTTTTGAGAATGTTAGAATGTTCTTTGAAATTAATGTAAATGAAGATTTAAAAGAAATTCTAACTTAAATTGTTAATGGTTTACTTAGTATATAAATGACATTACCCTAATTAATTAGAAGTAGTACTAAAAGTAGTAGTATAATATCCTCAACATCATTTTATAATTAACTTAAATAAAGTAGTGATCATCTTCGATAAACTGATTTTTAATTCTTGTTAAGTTAATTTGGTGTCAAAGATGAAATAGAGTATCCTCGTTTCATTTAAGCTTTAGGAGTTAAGGCAAGGGAATTGTAAGTTCAAAATTGGAAATAATTATAAGAAGTTGATGGTGGAGATAGTTTTTAAGAAAGAAAGAATAATTTTGATGATCCTGAATTATCATTATAGAAATCTATAAATTTTAATCCTAGGTCATTTGACTCTTAGAAAAAACTTCTATTATTTATTACTAAATAATTATAAGAAAGAGATGAAACTCCTAGAGCTTATTTTAAATGTACATTTTAAAGAATGTCAATTTAATAATTTAAGGATAAATTACGTTAATTGTAAGTGCTTAAAGCAGATTTTGAAATAGAATAAGAAGAATTAATTAATAATCTTTTAGTACCTAATGATAGAACATAAGTTGATATAGATTTGCTTATTGAAGCTATTCTATATTATAAGGATAAAAGAAATGATTAAAATAAATATAGTTAACACAATGCAATAATATTTTTTGAGTAACTTAATAAAATGATGAAAAAAAAGAAAATCTCTTTTTCTGATATTGAAGATCTGGATTCTTTAGGAGATGGAACTTTAAGGAAGAAACATATATAAGATTATTTGGTTAAACAATTTTTAATTGATACTGAGGATGAAAATTTTAAGGATTTTATTATTTTCATATAATAAGATTAATAAAATATATCTTTAATTAAATTAAGATAAGGATTAAAATTAGATGATGCAGCTAATAAATTGTTATAAGATCTGAATACTGAATTATCATATGAATAAAGCAAACCAGAATAATTATTTCGGAAATATGATGCAAATAGAAATACAAAATTGGAATTGAGAGAATTTTAGGAATTTTTACAATAAATTGTAGGAAATGTTGATTAGAAGATATTGGAGACACTATTTCATAAATTTGATACAAACAATGATAATACAATTAATTTAAAGGAGTTTAGAGAGAAAATAATTAATTAGAATTAAGATAATGTTAATTATTAATAATAATAATAATAATATCATCAAAAATAATAAAAAGAATATTAACCATAATAATAGTAATATTAAGAATTACCAAAATAATAATATAGAAAATCTACAGCAGTTGATTCTAAAGTATTGACTCCATAGATAATGAAATCAGTATTTAGATTAAAAGATGCATTAAATGAAAACAATTAAACCTTATAGATATTTGACAAAAAAGGTAGAGGTGAAATATTGATAAATGCATTTTAAGATATAATAAACCATTTTGGATTTGACTATGTAGAATTTAGAAGTTTAGCATCTTATTTATAATCACCTGACGATAAAAAGTTTCTGTAATATGATAAGTTATAAATTTTGATGGATGATTGTTTAGAAGCAGAATAATTGTTATTGAGTTTAAATTAGACTATTTAGGCAGGAAAGAATGCAACAGCTTAATTATTTTATAATTATGATTAAAATGGAAATGATGTATTAGATAGATAAGAATTCAATAAATTAATTCATGATATTGATCCTTCAATAAAAAATAAATAGATAGATAATCTATTTTTATTACTTGATACAAATGGTGATGGATCTATAAGTATAAGTGAATTTAAATCGAAGGTTTGTGCAAAAGAGAAACCTAAAGTATTGGCATAAGATACAAAATAATAATAAGGTATGTTTGCAGAAGTTATTAAATTTATTAAATAAACACCTAATATATTAGGAGATTTTGAAGGAATGGATGAAGGTTATACAAATAAATTAGATGTTGAAAGTGTAATATCTATTTTGAAGAAAAATAATGGTCCTATTCTTTAACCAATTGAAATGAAAGGAATAGCAGATGAATTAGGTGCATTTTAAAACAATTAAATAAATTATAAGATGCTTTGTTAAAAAGCTAAGTAACATTAAATCGATACTCCTTAGAATAAAATTGATAATATATTGACAAAGCTTAGAGAATCATTATTATAAAAAGCAATTAGTGTAATTGATATTGCTTAGGAATTTGATTTAAATAAAAAAGGTAAAGTTAAATTAAAAGGATTAAAATTAGGAATTGCAGATAAATCAATATAAATTTCAGATAATGATTGGGATTTATTGTTAACAATACTTGAATAGGATGCTTAAGATTACATTGATTATTATGCTCTTAATGATCTAATAAACTTGGGATTGGCTAAGTATAAAGAAAGCTAAAAGGTTATTGTAATCAACACAAATTAAGAAATTGATAAGATAGTTGTTTCTTTTTCTTAATATATGGAAAAAGAAACATGCACATTACTTCATTTATATAGATAGACTGATAGAGATAAGGATAATTATATTTCCAATGAAGAATTCACTGATCTATTATTGAGAACTATTGGATATACTAGTTCTTAGAATGTATAAAGACAATTGTTTGAGATATTTGATATGGATAAAGATGGTAAAATCAATTTTACTGAATTTGAGTATTAAGTATACAAACGAAGTGAAATAACTGCTAAATAAATTGAAGAAATGAAATAAGTGATGTTGAATGGACGAAATCCTAATTTTGAACAACAGATTTCAGAATTATTTAATATTATATCTTAGGGTAGTTAAACTTTTGATTTCAGATAATTCACCATGTATATGAATTACTATAAGAAATATAGAATATTAGAGTTAGATTAATTCTTCAGGTATTTTGATAAAGAATATACAGAGAGATTAGATTAGTTTAGATTTATATTATAATTTAAATAGTAAAATATTAGAATAGCAGAGTCTGTATATAATTAATAATTTGGAATGCCTCCATAATAATAAGCATATCTTCCACCTGGATATTAATAATAACCAAATTAATAATTATAATTTTAATAAGCAAATCAATATTAATAACCATATCCAAATTAATATTAATAATAATATTAAGATCCAAATTAGTATCCTCCAAATCAATAATAATATCAACAACCAAATTAATATCCACCAAATCAATAATAATAATAATCAATTTATGGTGGTTAAGGATATCAATAATAACAAAATTAGATGCCTTAATATTAAATGTAATAAAAGAATTAAAATGATATTGTAAATCCAATGCTTGGATCTTTTAATCCATCACAAACTTAGTAGTCTATGGTTTATCCACCTTAAAATACAAATTATAATTAATATAATAATAGAGGGGATCAAGAAATTTAATAATAATAATAATGGATGCAAAATAGCACTAAAATAGATTAAAGATGGAATCAAGGATAAGATTAATAAATGCTTCCTCCTAAATATGGTCCAGATTAATGGAAAGATAAAGATGATAAATAATTTGATGATAATCAATAATCTAGAATTCCTTAAGAATATGATCTAATTTTTTATGATTAAGAATTACATAGAAAATGTATACAGAAAAACACAGATCTTTTTGATTTATTATGTCAATATGATGAAACTTCTTTGCCTGATTTAAAAATATCTAAGCCTGAATAATTGGAATAAGCATTTTTATTTTTAGAAATAATGGCTCCAACTCCACATATACAATAATTCTATTATTATTATTCATAAGGATAGAATCAAATGAGTATAGTCTTACCTTATTTAAAAATGAATAACCCTGGAAAACTATTAGCTAAAGCACTTAATTTTACTATGGTAAAACATAAATAGTATACCAGATAACAATTATGGAATCTTATTGGAGAGTAATAACCAACTTGGAGATTACCATAATTAGAAAAAATAAATAAAAATTTAAAGATTGGTTTAAATGATAGAGAATTAAGAGATGCATTTCAATATTGGGATACTTAATAATCAGGAGTTATTACTTATAAAATGTATGAAGAAATATTAAATTTGAATTAAATAATTGTACCTACTAAAAATAATAATGGAATGTAATCATAATAGTAATAATAAGTAGAAACTGGATTGAAATAAACTTTAGATGCATTTTTATTACATTTATCTGAAGTTGTTCTATCTAAAAATTGTTTCAATTTATTTGAATAATTTGATAAAAGAGGTCATAATTAAATACCTTATAATGATTTCTTATAAATTAGTAAAAAGTTATTAGGAACAATTTCAGGAGAGGAAATAAAAGCAATAAAACAATTATTGCAATTAAATGGATTTATAAATCTTAGTGATTTAGCTTAATATTTAAAAGTTGATAGAAATAAAGTTGGATAATTTAATTAAGAAGATGAAAAATAATAATTTGGATTGGCAAATAAAGATTAAAGAAAAAATACATTAAATTCCTAAAATAAAGAGAAGTTTAATAAAATGTTACCTATAATAAATGAGTTTTTGAAAAAGAGAAACAAAACATATGAAGATTTTGCATTATATTTCTTCCCAGCAAATTAAGCTAGTACAATCGATAAAAATCAATTTGTAAAGAAAGCACTTGAAGCATAATTTGGATTGACAGCTGTTTAATGTGAAGATTTATATGATTATTTAGATGCTAATTCTAGTGGAAATATATCAATAAATGAATTTAGATTAGTATTTTAATCGAAACAAGGAGATTTGTAGAATAAAAATAAAGCTGAATAAATAATAATGAGTTAAGATATTGAATAAGAAATTTAAGAACTCTTTAATTAAATAGATGAAAATAAAAATTAGTCTTTAGATTAAAGGGAATTATTGAAAGCTTTATAATCAGTAGGATTAAATCCAGGAACAGAAGAATTATCTTAGTATTTTGCATAATTTGATAGAGATAAAAGTGGTACAATTTCATATCAAGAATTTTCACATATAGTAAAAGATATTCTAAAAAAAGAATTATTATAAGCAGATGATTTATTAGAAGATTTAAGAAGAGAGTTTAGATAGGTTTGTAATCCAACAACTAGAATGTTATCAAAAGAATAAGTAAGTTAAGTATTTTAAAATATGGGTGTGTAAATTAAAAATGAAGAACTTGAAGATTTGTTTATAGAAATAGATGAAGATAAATCAGGTTCAATAGATATTGATGAATTTATATATTTTATTTAAAAAAATCAATCAGGGATGTCAGCTAAGGCATCTGCAGCTGTAATGAATATAAAAGGAAGTAGAAGAATATCATTACATGATTTGAAAGAAATATTTTTAACATTACCATAAAATTTTATAATGAGTTTTGTACGTAGTTAAAATAAGAGATTATAAAATTTGCCATCTTAGTAATTGAAACCTATTTTAGATAATTGTGGATTCTTTTATTAAGGTTTAAATTATGTAGATGCTGCAAATTTTAATATAAAATAAAGTATACTTGATAAAGTGAATATAAAAAATAATTTTATAGCAGAAATAAGATTGATTGAAGCAACTGGTATACCTATACCAGATGAGAAAGATGTTCCAAGAGCTTAATTTTTAAGAAGAGAATTAGGAATTATTTTAATAGATAAAGCTTTAAATAAATTTGATGGAAATGCAATATATATTCCAGCATAATGGAACCCAGAATATGAAGATAGATGGATTTTTGATTCTGCAGCTATGGAATAAGCAATGTATTTGAGATGGGGTAATTTTGATGAGAAAATGGATAATATGACAGAATTAGTATTTGAATTTATTACATATTCTACAAATAAGAGTAGATTAATTTAAATATCATGTGCATATGGATCAATACCTGTGTATTAATTAAAACCAGGTAAATAAATATTAGAATTGAAGGGAGGTGCTCCTCTTAAAGATATAACTATTGATAAAAAAGATATAAGAACTAATCGTAGTGGTTGGAGATCAGTTGTTAAAGCTTTATCATCAAATATAAAATCTTAATTGGTTATAGAAATTGTTAAATTAACTCCATAGACAACTAATAAATTATCAGCATTACCAAATAAATGTTTATTAAATAAATGGGCATTAGGAATGTAATCAGCTTTTAGAGAATATTTTGCTTATAGAACTTAAATGAAGGGAGAAATAGAATTGAATTTAGCAAGTGATATAAGAATTAAAGCTTGGTTAAATTGTTTTGATTGTCCAGACACTATCAGAGCAGTTGCTTAATTTTGGAATGAATTAATTGAGTAAATATATATAAAATATATTTTAATAGGCCAAAAGTTAATGATCATTAATTCTTATTGAAAGCTGTATCTAAAATAGCAGATTCTCTATATTTAATGTTTAAGAATACAGAATTCAAATTTTCAGCAGGAGATCCTACAGCTAGAATTGATCATGATTTGGCTTTATTAAAAAAAAGATAATAGTTGATTGCTGATGCTATTCTTGATATGAAAATTAATTTAGGAATTGGAAATTAGCAACAGTATATATATATATAGTTTATTCTTTAGAAAAAAACCATAAACTATTGCTAGTTTAGAACCATTAAATATAGAAGAGATGATGGATTTAGAAAATGAACAAGATTTATAAGCAATAGAAAAGTTTTTGAATAAGAAGAAACCAAAAAAATAACAATAATAGTGATAATATTTATGAACATGGAAGCCAATTAATTTTTTGATTATCAATTTTTAACTTTCCATTTTTATCTATCAAGTGGGCAATAATCTTATTCTTCAGTCCATCTAACTATACAATGTAAATGAAAGTGATGATTGCATGCTCCTGTAACAGGAGGACATTCATCTCCTGGTAATTTACATCTAGGACATGGTTGTTCAAATGCTAACTAACAAATTGTGCATCTATCTGTATCCAGACTCCATATCCATGAAGCAACTGCATTCCATTCTTTTATCTTAACTTTCATAATTTGAATTTACTATTATTATTATTAAATTATTTTTATTCATCTCATTAGAATTAAAATTATATTAATTTACTTATAAATAAATATTTACCTCTATTTATGAATTAACATTTATAGACAATTTTGGTTAACAATAATGTTTTATATAAAATCTACACTTTTTGAAATTTAAAGTAAAATTATATATTCACAATTAAAACACTAATTGTTTATAACAAGAATCTTATATTTGAATTATAAGTAAAGATTGAAATTACAAAAAATTTAATTATATGTTGTTACCATATATTTAACAATTAATAAATATAATAATAAATTGAACTTTAGATTATGAAAATCTGAACTTATAATTTGTTATTTAATAAAATATTTTTGTCAAAATTAAATAGCCTCTGTAAGTAAAATAACTCAGCAATTATTGTTATGATACATAATAATGATTATTTGAGAGAATTTATAAATAAAAAGAGTTTTAAAGAGTTTTGGAGAAAAAATGAATATAATATGGTAAAATTATTTTTGTTATAAATTCTTTATTCTTCAAGATTCTATAGCTTCAGAATCGTAAGTAAATTACTCATAGTTGTCAAATAGTTCTTTTGTATATACTGGACTATCTTAAGCTGGTTCATCCAAAAACATCTTAGGATTATACATTGTGTTACTTTATTAAAATATTTTAAGTCTAAATCATTACTCAATTCTGGTATGATGGGTGGTACTAATTATCTGTTTTAAGCTTAATTCCAATCAATTTCTGAAAAAAATGGATGTTTTTTAATTTATTATATATTAATTCTTTATTGAGGCTAATAATATAGAATATATTTACATTATTATTTAATAATCCTGTAAGTAGACTAGAACATGATTCAGAAAACCACGGTTTCATTTCTATTTATTTTTCTGTTCTATTTCTGAACATAAGTGTTCTATCTTGACTATAAAATGGCGCAGTTCCTGTTAACATTTCATACATTAAAGCTCCTAAACTCCACCAATCACATGATTCATCATGACCAAGTTTATCATCTGAATATATTTCTGGTGCAAGATATTCTGGTGTTCCTACAATTGAATAAGAAAGTAAGTCTCTATTGGTAATAATTTTGGATAATCCAAAATCAATTAATTTGATATGTCCATCTTAACATAATAAAATATTTTCTGGTTTTAGATCTCTATATAAAATTTTAGAATCATGTAAATACTCTAAGGCAATAATAATCTCTACAGCATAAAATTAAACTTAATTCTCTTTTAGTTTATAAGCTCTTCTTAAATGGAAAAATAATTCTCCACCAGCACAATAATCAATAACAAAATATAATTTTTATTAAGTTTAAAATGCATAATGAAGTTTACTAATAAAAGGATGATTAATTTTTTCTAAAATTATTCTTTCTGTCTTAGCATATTCCACTTATTTTTTAATTTGTAAATCATATTTCTTAACAATTTTCATAGCATACAATTTTTCATTAGAACGTTTTTTAACCAATAAAACTTTACCAAAGGTTCCTCTACCTAGAGTCTTTAATAATTTAAAGTCTGTAATATTAAGTTTATGAGGATCAGTTGTAAGAATAATACTTTGTTTACTAAAAGTAATAGTTTCAGTTTATTATTCATTAAGAGGCTTAGAATTAGTATCAGCTTATTAAGACACAACATCTTATTAACTTTCTTCTTTTTTTTTAAAACAATTGAGACATTATCCCATATGTATTATATAAAATACTTTTATAATGAACGAATTAAAGTCTCCGAAATTATTGAATAGTTTAGGATAGAGAAAATAATAGAATGTATAAGAATTGAATGACACAAGTCTGCTTTTATAATTATTCTAAAAGATTCAACCAGTTGAGATTATTAAAATGACTGTACAAAGAATCCATTATATTTTAGGATTCTAAAAAAAAGAGTTAATCTGTGTTATATATCTATGAAAATGAATCAGAATCTAAATTTTAAGAGATAATCAAAAATGGAATCTTAGAATATGAACAACATCAATATTAATAAGCTNTATAGAATATATTTACATTATTATTTAATAATCCTGTAAGTAGACTAGAACATGATTCAGAAAACCACGGTTTCATTTCTATTTATTTTTCTGTTCTATTTCTGAACATAAGTGTTCTATCTTGACTATAAAATGGCGCAGTTCCTGTTAACATTTCATACATTAAAGCTCCTAAACTCCACCAATCACATGATTCATCATGACCAAGTTTATCATCTGAATATATTTCTGGTGCAAGATATTCTGGTGTTCCTACAATTGAATAAGAAAGTAAGTCTCTATTGGTAATAATTTTGGATAATCCAAAATCAATTAATTTGATATGTCCATCTTAACATAATAAAATATTTTCTGGTTTTAGATCTCTATATAAAATTTTAGAATCATGTAAATACTCTAAGGCAATAATAATCTCTACAGCATAAAATTAAACTTAATTCTCTTTTAGTTTATAAGCTCTTCTTAAATGGAAAAATAATTCTCCACCAGCACAATAATCAATAACAAAATATAATTTTTATTAAGTTTAAAATGCATAATGAAGTTTACTAATAAAAGGATGATTAATTTTTTCTAAAATTATTCTTTCTGTCTTAGCATATTCCACTTATTTTTTAATTTGTAAATCATATTTCTTAACAATTTTCATAGCATACAATTTTTCATTAGAACGTTTTTTAACCAATAAAACTTTACCAAAGGTTCCTCTACCTAGAGTCTTTAATAATTTAAAGTCTGTAATATTAAGTTTATGAGGATCAGTTGTAAGAATAATACTTTGTTTACTAAAAGTAATAGTTTCAGTTTATTATTCATTAAGAGGCTTAGAATTAGTATCAGCTTATTAAGACACAACATCTTATTAACTTTCTTCTTTTTTTTTAAAACAATTGAGACATTATCCCATATGTATTATATAAAATACTTTTATAATGAACGAATTAAAGTCTCCGAAATTATTGAATAGTTTAGGATAGAGAAAATAATAGAATGTATAAGAATTGAATGACACAAGTCTGCTTTTATAATTATTCTAAAAGATTCAACCAGTTGAGATTATTAAAATGACTGTACAAAGAATCCATTATATTTTAGGATTCTAAAAAAAAGAGTTAATCTGTGTTATATATCTATGAAAATGAATCAGAATCTAAATTTTAAGAGATAATCAAAAATGGAATCTTAGAATATGAACAACATCAATATTAATAAGCTCTATTTTAATTTAAATAAGCAGAATAAATCCTAACTGCAATAGCAACTCCACCAATTCAATATCAACTAATTAATAAAATTAATATCGGTACATATGTTTTATATTAAGGGTATTTCTTTTTATGCTATAGGTTGGTTAGAAAATGCTTTTACTTGTTTTGAAGATACTATTTTAATATTGAAAAAGCATATTAATAAACCAACACAAGAAAGGACTCTTCTAAACATTATTAGAATTCAATGTTTTTTATAATGTTGCATAATTTTATCTGAAATTGGTTAACATCAAGAAGCATTGGCAATCTCTAAAATTGCAATCAAAAAAGCATTAAAATTAATGCTTGATCTTCATTCCAATTCAGATGATTCTTCATAGAAGAAACTCTTAGAAGAAATTTTAAAGAAATCAATTGCTCTCCCTCAATTAAAACCTAAATAATAAGCAATTATTATTACTTATCCATCATCTAAAACCTCATAATTAACCTAAGAGAATCTTCTAAATGTTTTTAAAGATTGTCCTATCCAATATATTGAAAAAGCCAACATTCTTAGTTATATTTAAATGGCTCCACTTAATTTTGAATCACTCAATTTTTTACTCAATCCAAACAATTAATAATTCCTTCATATATTATCATTATTTGTAATCTCACTTTATTGTTCATCAACTGAATCCAGATTCATTGAATAAATTATTGATCCATTAACATTTACAGAAGCTGAAAATTATTTATCAAGAGCATTAGAATTAGTTTATTTATATTTCCCTAAAGATATGCCTCTTGTCAATCAATTATTAAATGTTCATAATAGATTTCATGAAATATCTAAATAAATTATTCAAGAAGATGTTCATCAAAAACATGAATAAAATTATGAAATTGTTCTTTTGAAACCTATATTAGAACCTTAAAAATGTGGATTTGTCATTCCCATCATTCGTAAATGTATGTTATTTATATTATCATTAGCGAAATGTGCCTATTTAATTAAAGAAAGAGCTATTTCTCTAAAAGAACAATAATTTTAATATACTAAAGCTTAAAATCTAAATATGGACACTAATACTTATGAAGGTTCTAAACCATAAAATAGAAAACTTCGATCCATTTCTACTACTAATAAAAATAAACCTAGTTCTCCTAAATGGGGACTTAATTAAGTTGCAGAAATCTATCTTAAAGATTAAAAAACTAATAATCAATAAAATATCAATATTACCAACTTTAGATAAACAAATTTCAAAAGACCTTAAACTAAATCAACCTAAAAATAATACTGCTTTGAAAAACCACGATTTAATATTAATTTCTTAATCATCAATAACTTAAATAATTTATAATTACCATAAAAAAAAAAAAGAGGTACATAATTCAATTTAGAATCTATTAAACCTCCTTAAACTGCTCAAAATAGTGCAAAAGGAAATAAAGAATTACTAAAATCTTATTAAATGTAAACCAAAATTAAAAATTTAATTAAATCCTATCAAATATGATTTTAGTTTTTTATTGTTCTATTACATATTTATTAAATTGTTTTTATTATCAAAAATATCTTTTTTATTTATTTTCATCTTAAATTAATCTCTAATATCACTGTTCTAAATAACTCCATACTATTTTTGAAAAATCATATTAAACTGGTCCTTCTTTTTATATATAAAAATAATTAATAGAATTTATTTATGAAATTTTATTTTTCATTGTTTTTTTTTGATTTATTGAAATAAAATCTTAAATTATAACCAAAATAGGATAGGTAGTGTTATAAATGTACTTAATTTAAGTATATCAAGAATTTTGGATAATCAATAATTTCATCATTTTGACAATTTTATTAGCTATTAATATAAAATTTATCTTTTTAAAATAAACTTAATTTGTTTATATGATTGATAAATGATACTTCAAAACATAAGATTAAAGAATTATACTGGATCAACAATAATATTTATTAATGATAGAATATGAAAAATTAAAATCATTTCAAAACTGTTTTACTTTTTTAAAATATTTATTCTTTTTCTCTTATTTCAACTTTTTTTATTGGATTCACAATTTTATTTAATAAGGTTGCTTTTTAAAATAATAGATAAACAAAAAACATTAAAATTATATTTGTTTCTGTAAATAAATATTCATGAAATGTACAGATAAGCAAGTTATAAAAATATAGGTTTGTTCAAATAAGTAGAAAAATAGAGCTATAGTAATTGTTGTTTCTTAAGTATAACAATCTATAATTAATTAAACAAAACTTTTGTTTTTTAATAGGTTTTTTTAGTATGTAATTCGTGTTATTTAATTTTCGAATAATGAAGTCAACAAGTTTTATATATTAGTAATTATTAAAGAAAATAATAAGAGTTCATTTTTAGATGGAACTTGTAAGCTTATATTTTATTTATAATTAACAATTAAGGAATTTGGTTGAAGGAAGACCATTTTTATTTATTTCAAAGAGCTTCATTTAATTGAATATCTTGGAATTTATTTGTATCATTTTAGAAACAAAATAAAGTACATCTCAAACTGGAAAGTCAAAAAAAGAGAATTTAAAAAGACAAGTCTCATTATGAGAAGTAAATAATTTAAGAATAAACGATGATTAAAACTAAAAGAAGGATAATAACATTCAACTTATATTACAATTATACTCTGAAATTAACATAAAAAAATGAATAAATAAAGTATTTTACTTATACTATATTGCAATCCTTAAGTTTTAAAGTATATTTGCTGGCATTCTTATCTTAGAATGAAAAAATTTGATAATTGAATAAACAAATAATAATATAATTGAAAAAGAAAGTAAATATTGATAATCCGGCAATTTATAGAGGTATATCAAACATATTTAGTATTATTTGATGTTATTTAAATATTGGAAGATATTTGTAAATAAATTATAGATTTATGATTTTCTAATGAGAAATAATGAAGTTTTGATTATTAAAATGATTAATTGCAATTATGTGGATGAAATATTAGAAATTAAGAATTATTGAGTCAATATGCTCTAAGTAATTACTAATAAATATAATGAGAAAATAAATATTAGTTTATTATTTTTTTATAAATGCAAAGCTCAAACTTATATTTTGTATATAATTCTGGATCAGAATAATTTTGGAAGAGAAAAGATTATTAGTTAATAAATGAGCTTATGTAAGGATTGCTTCAAGATTCAAGAGAGATGATAACATTATATAAAACAGGGAAAATATTAAAAAAGTTTATCGGTAGACGATATAAAACCTTTTAACAACATTTGTTTTATTTTCGAGAGGTACAAATATGAAAACTAAGTAGAAAGAATGGTGAATTGGGTGGATTTGTTGTTTTAAAGAATGTATATTTTAAAATAACCAAAAAAATTGTTACCCAAAATATTCCTTATGAGAGTTGTCTAACTCTAATAAGAGATCGTAGTAGAATTGATCTATATTTTAACAATTCAGTTGAGATTGAGTTATTTTTGAGAGAACTATAAAGATGTTGTATTATTGATGGTTTTGAATAGCATTATTAATTGCTTTAAAACATAGGTACTGGTTCTACAGCTTAAGTATAATTTTTGAAAATAAATTAAGGTGTTTTTGGCTGAAAATATTGAAGATCATTAATAATATGCAGTAAAATAGATAGAAAAAGAATAAGTTACAGGGAGAAATCGTATATTACGATCAAAAACATTATTAGAAGAAATATTTATGATGAGAAGTTTAGATCATCCAAATATAATGAAATTACATTAAGTCTATGAAACAGAAAGTACAATATTTATATATTAATAGAACATATATTATTAGTTATAAGTTTATTTGAAGGAGGATAATTGATGGATAAAATCAAGAATTTTAATTTCATAACAAAAAGAGAGTTGGCCAAAGTATTAATTGAAACTGTTCATTATATGCATACCAAAGTATTAGATATCCAAAATTAGGGAATCATGCATAGAGATTTAAAACCTTTGAATATACTTTACAAAAATAAAGATCCATAAGATTGGTAATTTGGAATTGGAGATTTTGGATTTTCAACTTCAATTAAATAACAATAACATATTCTTTATAAATGTGGTACTCCTGGTTATGTAGCACCTGAAATTATAGAATATAGAGAGAAATCTAAAATGTATGGATTATCATGTGATGTATTTAGTATTGGTGTTATCTTATATGAAATGTAAGAATAGAAATTAAATTTATAGTTTTTTTAATACTCATCCATTTAAAAGTAAAACTAAAGATGAAACTTTAAGATAAAATGTAAATGCTTAAATTAATTTTGATGATCGTATTTGTATTCCTTAATCTCTTAAATCATTGATTATTTCTATGGTTAGAAAAAATCCAAGACATAGATTCACTTTATAATAATGTTTAGAACATGATTTTTTTAAAGAGAATTTATCCAAATTTAATGAATTATCATAAGAAATTCAAGAGTATTAAAATCAATTATTAATTTTATAGACATGAACCTAAAATTATGGAAATTAGAAATATAAGATGTAAAACTCTTTAATTTCTAAAAACTTAAAATAACAGAAGAAGATAATCTTTACCTCAAGATTTCTCTGTTACACAAGAACCTTAAATTTAACAGAGTAATAGTCATAATTATTGCTTAAGGAAAAAGCATATTAATAAAACATAGATAATCTGTATCCACACATGAGTCAAAATTAAAAATAGAATCTCAGTAGCAATTCTAATTATCCTAATAAAATTAACTATTTATGCTATCCTAGCTAAAAATTATTTAATTAGAAAAAATTTATGAGATTTTACTAAATGATACTCATAATAATCCACATTCATTTGGTTAAACTTATTTAATTAAGAATCATTATTGATTATAAATAATAAAAAATATCATTTATATAATTTCTATAAATGTCAGAATTCCAAAGAGTAAAATTTATATTTCCTGCTATAGAAAAGTTTATTGTTATGGTATACATTTTCTCTCACAAGCTAGGATTTAAATAGTAAAATTGCTCTTGATGAACTAAAATTTACTTTTACAAATATTTTAAAAATTGATATATTTGCTAAAAAATTAGGGTTCTCATTCAATAAAGGATTTAAATAAACTGACTTAAATTCTTAATAAAATTCATTGAAGAAGGAGCATGACAATATATTATGATTTTTATTATTAAAGAAATTTTTGATTAATTGAAATCAAATATATTGTTTGAGGAAATATATCTTATATATATATTTTATTTTTAATAACTTGCAATAGAATTATTGACTCAATTTTGATAATGATATATATTCCTACAATGATTTAAATTTAATACCAATCTTTATCATCTCTCTTTATATATTCTCTTTCTATAAGATTTTCAATTCTTTTTTTGATAAATTTAATATCTGGTTTAAATATTGTTACCATAAATTAGCATTAATCAACTAACTCTTTATGAGCAATAGTTTTTTTACTTTTCATGATTCTTACAAGTTAAGAATCAATAACAAATTCTCTTTATTTAGTTAATTATTCCTCTTATTCTCTTTCTTGAGCAGTTAATTCTGGATTTCTTCCCTATAATATGATTATTCATAAATACTTATCGTTTTGGTTGCATTTTAGTGTTTGGTATCATTTTCATTTTTTTAGCTTTGTTATTAAAATTACTATTTAATTTAATGATTTCATTTTAATCAGCAAATTCTTCTAGATCTGATTTCTCTCTTTGTAGAACTTTAAGACAAATAAAAGGAATAAGAGAATTCTCTAAATCAAACTATTTTTATAATATATCTATGTACTTTTTTGATTTAAGTTTTTTCTAAAATTTGTTCAATAGTAAATTAATCAGCTTAATTGAAAAGTAAAAATGCAATCATTTAGAGAGTATTTAAGCTGAAATAATATTTTTCAGCTTTAATTTTATAAGTTACTTCCCCTTATCCATAATTAAATGTCCATTCAACAATTCTTCCATTATTTTTTTATAAATACATATCCTGATATAATCTATATAATTATTAAATTCAATATTTACTATAAAGGTTTTTTCATGTATTCAGGAGCAATAATTTGATTTTCAACATTACTAAAAGGCCAACATCCATAAGATAAAAGGTATACTCCTAATTCAAATTATTAGTTTTTCTCAATTTTTTACTCAAATGCAAATCTTTATGATTGTTCAATATCATTAACCATATTTTATAATTAAGTTCTAAGTTTAAGATAATAAATTTTACAAAACATTAGTTTAGGTTTCTCCTTTAAATTTTTATAATAAAGTTTTTTCAAAATTAAGATTCTAACTTTATGGATTTAACAATCTATGTTATAAAAACCTTTAATGATGTGAAAGAAATTTATCTTTTGAATATAACAATTAAAATAGAGAAACAATCTTATTTAATTTTTTATCAGTTTCTGTTTCATTAATTCCTTTTTCAGCTTTTATCAATAAATCAGAAAAAAGTGCTAAAAAAAATGGTGAATCATTAATTTCATTAAATGCTGCTGTAAATGCTGCTAAATATGCTGATTAAACTTTATGATCATTTTGCATATAATTTTTAATTATATTTTATGCCTTATCCATTAATTCTAAAATTGAATTACAATAACCTTCTGCTTATACTATAATTAAATAGATATAAAAGATACCTTATTTATTCTATTGTTATTAATCATTATAATAATTAGTATTGACATTTTTTGTTAATGTAGTAAAAGTTATTTAGAATTCATCAGCAATATATTTTACACTATCACTATTTCTTGATATTAGATTATATAACTCTCCTAATTGTGATAATCCACCAGCTGATATAAAATATTAAACTCCATTCTCTGATAATCTTTTTGCTTATTCAATTACAAAAAGTTATATCAATTATTTTGATATTTGTTCAAAACTTTTAGGGTAACTTTCCAAACACATAGTTTCTTCTAATTTAAATACCTTTGTTGCCCATCTAACGAATTCAATAACAGATATTGATTATCTCTCAGAAATCTACTTTTTATAATATTTAACAGTCTAATAATAATATTTAGTATTATTACATCATCTATAAACTTTATTTCGAAATTGTTCTTATAAAATGTTTCTGTTTCTTAAAAATTTAAACAGATATAATCATACAATCCTTACTCTCTTTCATATTTTAATTTAACTGTCTTTGAACCCATTACTACAAATAATTCACACAATGATTTAACTTTTTTATCTAAAAATATTTCCTTTTATCTAGATTCTAAAAGAACTTATAAAATAGTATTTATTAATTTCTCCTATCCTACTGAGAAATATCCTTATTTCAAAGCTTCAAGTGAAAGACTATGCAAATCAGCTCCCAATGTTGATGCTGTATTTGAATCTAAATGAAAAAACAACTTATAAAGCCAATAAGAAAATGCTTTATAATCATGGTAGTGTTTTGCCACTAAATAGAGTGTCTAAATTTTTAAATATACTATTACTGTATCTCTTTCATTCTATACTTATTGTAATTTCTTATAGATTTCATCAACGAATTCTTTTAAGCATTTTTTGTACAAATTTATGAGTTTACCTTCCATACCTTCTTCTTTATCATCCTGTTATTTACTTGCATTTCTTGGAAACTTTATACTCCATTAGCTTGATAATTGTAAAACTTAACTTTTAAAATCATTAATATTTTACCTATTAATTTACATTACTTAATCTTTTGACATTTTAAATGATTCTTCACTAAAAAGACTATTTTACAAACTTTTTGCAGCATCTAAACATTTCTTTTCTAATTCTTTATATTATTTATCGAAACTTGCTTTTAAATCAATATCCTATGCTCTCATTTTTAATTTTTAATGTAAAAATTTATTAATTCTATAATTATTCTTGATTTTGCTAAAATAATTTAATACTGTCAACTTAAAATCTATTATTATATTCAGACTGTAATAATATTATGTTTGATAACAAAAATTGCTATTTTTTTATTTATATCATAGATTCTACTTTTATTTTTTATTTTATATTAGATAATTACAGAGTAAATTATAATTTGAATAGAAATATAATAGATTTAAATATATACACAGTTGGTTATAAAGTAGAATATTATATATTATTACACTCAAGTATAAATGTTTATAAAGAAAAACTACTTTAAATTTCAATTTTAAAAAATTAATATAAAGTTGTTAGGTTGAAGTTTTTCAATGATGTTTATTTTTCTTGTTTTCGAAAAAAATGTCATTTTTCTTGAATTTTCTAATTTTTAACTTTTTTTGAATATTTAATTATTTAAAGAAATGCATTTAAATATTAAGAAATACCTATAATAACATTATATAAATAAAGAAAACTACTTTTATTCTTTTTAGAAATATGAATTAATTATTAAACATTTTGATTAAAGTTCTGAGATAAAAATTTATTAATATACTAATAGGTTATTTTTGATGAAGCATATTTGCTAAGAGTGATAAATCTTTAGATAATATGTAAAATTTAAATGAATATTCATGCAGAATTGTTGGAGTAACTATAATTTATATCAATATTATTGTTTAATTTATTGGCGGAACTATGAAAGAAGAGAATTTAAGTTCATTTGTTTTCTGTGTATAAGAATTTCTAAATTAGGGTATTATTTTAGTTAAATAGGATTCAACAAAGACTACTTTTAATTAACAAGGAAAAGAATTATTAGAACTAGTAAATTTCGTTTGATTAGATAAAAATATAGAAGATATATTTTATTCTTCTCATTGATTATTTTTTTTTCATTATCATGATTTACTTTATATATCATTCAAGAACTTTCAAAAAAAAATTGTAAATTTAATAATTTAATTTAAATTATATATTAGTGTTTGAATATCTAGTCTTTTTATAAATAATAAATCTTCTTTTATATTTAATGAAATATATAAATATGTAAATTTAATTAAAAGTAGAAATAATTTTTTATTATTTAAAAAAGTCTTTGAAATTTTGAAAAGATTCTCGATTCTCTATTTTTTAGGTTGTTTCTTCTAAAATTATACAAAAAATAGAACAATTTATCTAATAAACTCAAAATATAATTATCAAGTAAATATGATTTATTTATTAAATAAATTTAATAGATATTAATTAAATATGTTTGCTAAAAGAACTACATCTCTTGTAATAATAAATTTATTATTATTAAATTTGGCTTCAAATTTTATAAACTCATAAAATGATTGCCATATATTTAGAATCTCTTTCTTTTTTAAAGGAATATTAAATTTTTAACATTTATTAATAAAATTCGTTATTAATTAGAAATTAATTGAAATAAAATCAACTAAAAATTTAACAAATAAAATTTAAAGTATGAATTCAATTTGTTCCCAGAAATTCTTATTTTTTATTTTATCTCTTTTGTTTAAATATCAATATAAATATCAAAATTTACAATAAATATTTATATAAAAAAAAAGATAAATATAAAGATTCTCAATAACTGGAATTGAACCTAAGGAAACAAATTTAGAAATTTCTATATTCAATTTAATTGAAAATTTTATTTTGCTTTAGAGAAGAAATTGAATTTCATATTTTAAACTCTAATTCCAATAATTCCTAACATTTAAAATAGATTTTTGTATCATATCAAGAAACTATCAAGGCTGTAGACAAATAAAACTTGTAAATTTTAGAGTTTGAGCCTTAACTTTAATTATATTGTATTCCTAAACAAAATGCTAGTCAAATATTTATAAAAATATTTAATAAATTATTATTAGCTCTTTAGCTACAAAATTAAAAAAAATTTAAATCTTTTTTATACGATTCTATTAGGATTGATTTGATTATATCTTTACTTTTATTTTTACATTCTTGTTTTTAAATCGATTATTATCTATATTGTTATTCAATAAAGTTATCATTTTTAATAAAAAATGAAAATTGCAAGTCTAAATTTTATGAGAATATTAATTTAATATATACTAAAACTTCGAGTTATTTATAAATGATAAAATTTAAAGGCTGATAACTGATGATTGCAACAATCATATTGATGTTAAATAAAATTTATAAAATAATTTTTTAATTTTTATCAATTAATTGATAAAATGATTAGATAAATGATAACATTCTAAACATTAAAATTAATTAGAAGGAATTATATAGATTATATTTTTTATATTATGATTAGTGGCCCTGTATTTCATTAGGATTTAATGAGTAACAATAAAAATATTAAATTAAATTAAGATGATTATTAACTATTTTAATTAATGAAAAATGATTTATCAATAAATTAAATAACCTAAAGTATGAATGTTATAAGTAAAAGATTCTAATTTCCAATCCAACCTTATTCCAAGCACATTTAAATTGATTCTTATATATAAAACTGGAATTAATTGATTCTTGGATGAAATTGTCAATTTGCTTGAAAAAATAATTTTTTCTCTCTGTATATTATGAGTTTGTTTAAATTCTGATCTTAAAAGGAATATTTCTTGAATATTCTCGATTAATAGGAATATTTAAGGACAAGAAAATTTCGATTTTTGAAGTTTATATTAAATATTTGATTCTTAAATGAAGTTTATTAAGATCTTGACAATATTCATTTACAGATCGATGTTAGTATTTGAATTTACTAGCTAACCATCAAAAATAATTCATTTTGGTTCACAATTTCTAAATGAATTAATGATACTAAAATGCAGCTTATTAATCTATTCAGAAAATAAAACTGAAAGAAATTCTTTTGAAAGTTTCCTTGTATATATTATTAGGCCTTACACATATTTTATTAAATCAGATTTAAAGAGTGCTTATACATTTTTTATTTTTATGCTGATCTAAATAATGATAATATATTGGTGTTATATAATCTATTATAGAGAGAATAAAAAGAAGAAATCATTCATAAATGTAATTAAAAAATATGAGTCACATTCAACTTTGAATTTCTTTTTAATTTCTTTATGGAAAACATTATTTATACTTGTTACAGAATTCTTGGGTTTAATAATATTGGAAGGATGTTTTGAACTCTTATTAGATGAGATTTAAGATAATCTATTTTGTATTATTTGTTCCATTATTGTCATCTTAGAAATCATTGTGATTAATATTTTCTAAGAATTATTTTGGAATTAAAGTTTACATTATATACCAAAACAATTAAATAAAATAATTTAACAATCATAACTAATCTTGTATGCAAAAATATTTAAAATTATAACTATTTGTATGTTTGTTAGTTAAATAAAATATAGATCCTAATTTGTATTAGGAATATCAATTTTTATTGCCCTCTTTGAATTATATATACAATTAATTTTAAAAATAAGACTCGAAAGAATAATCATAAAATTAAATGTATTTATGTAAAGTTTAATACTTTTTGTTTCAATTTAATAACTTTATGTAATATTTTGTAATACTACATTATCTTTTTTATGGATTCTACTCTCAATATTATTTTTTAAAGTTATTTGTCAGAATTATCTAAGTGAATCTATTTTATAACGAAAGATTTTTTAACCAAATTAAAATTAAATTGAATAATTATCATTTAAAGCAAAATAGACGATTTATTTATATCAAATCTTAAGTTAAGAAAGAAATTCTGAATATAGATTAATTAATAAAGTTTTAATATAAAAACATTAGTAGGTTTGTTCCAATCAATCTTGTTTTTGTAGAAACGAAGAAATGATTATGATTAAATTAAGTCATTTACTACTTAAAGAATAGATTCAAGAATATAAATTAGTGATTTAATAATCAAAATAAAAATCATCAGCTTTATTCTTAGAGTATATTCAATTGCTTGTACAAAATAATAAATACTTTGAAGCATTAAATATAACATAAAAATTAATTAATTAATTTAAAAGAAAATCAAAACATACATAGAATTATTTAATTAAAGGTTAAGTCTCTTTATAACATGAGTTATTATTTAAAGTACTCTAATAACAAATTTTAATGGCAATTTAAAGTTCCATTTAAAATAATTCTTTAAATTCAGCTAAAACATTAGGTTTTCGTTAAGCAATTAAATCTTATTAATAAAAAAAAGATTCTGAAAAGATAATTTAGAATTAATTGGATAAAATATTGAAAGAAAAAATAGAATTTTTAGAAGAATTATCAAATTCACACTCTTTACATGCTAAAACAATAAATAATAAAGCATTCAAAATAATAAATCACATAGATTAGTTTAAATAACAATTAATTCTCAATTTTAAAAAAATACCAAGTAATTTTTTTATTTTTAAATTTTAGCTAATAGTAATAAAGGCTTGTTATTATTTTTTCAAATTGAGATTTTGAATGATCTTATAAATTCGTAAACTATTAATACAGCAAGCACATTGTCAGAAAATTAAGAAGAAATGCTTTTTGTAAATAATATTTATTAATAACTTACAAATCAATTTAATTATGCAAAATTTATTATTAGAGAGGAAGGTAATATTGAATTAGCTTTAAATAATACATCAAGTCAATTAAATATTGGAAAGATTAATTATAGTACTTTTAATGAAATGGTTCCATTATCATTAATATTACATCATAAATAGTTTATGAAAGAATTCATTACTACAGGATAGAATAAGTTTTATTTAAACATTCATTAATCTTTTTTATAAATATAAACAGGTATAATACTTCCAATAGAATTGTGTATGGATATTTAGTTTGATTAAAAGATGAATTAATTGATTGCAATAACATTTCTTAAGGAAGCCAGTTATATTAATTAATTTCATTACATAATAATAGATAATTAGTTTATGATAAAAGAAATCTCATAAATTTTGTATTATGAAATTTTGGATTATTCAACATATTGTAAAATGTAATTATATAATTCATCAATATTTTCTCTAATACCAGAATTGAAAGATATTGATTTATCATAAGATCGAACCTTAAGATCATGTTAATTGTTTTTTCCATCAAATATTAATAAATAAACATCTAGTAGTTTGAAAAGTCAAAATAAATCTTAAGAATATTATAAAGGAGACATAACTATAAATCCTAGAATAATAAATAATAAAATTTTATATTACTTAATTGAAATAAGTGATTTTAAATCAGAAAGAAAAGATATGATTGAAATAATGTCTTTATAATAAGATGATTTAGATGAAAAGGAGATTATTAACATTCCATTAGAAATCAATAATTTATTTGAATAAACTATTCCATTGTAAATTTGGTAACAACCAATCAATTCTAATTTAGAATCTGAAAGATAACCATTATTTGTAAATATAGATGTTTCAGAGTCTCAATTATAAAAGAAAAATGATTAAGTTAACATAAATATAATTTAGAATAAAGCAGGAAAATCTTCAACTTCAGAAATAAATTAAAAATCTGAAAAACATTAAGAAATATTAGATGATGTTCACTCTTAAATTTCTTCAGTAGCTGCTATTAGAAAATCAGTTTATTTTAAATAATTTTAATTAATAAATGAATTAATTTACTCCAAAATATTTCCACCTAATATTAAGACATTTAATATTATATTTATTATTTACATTATTATAGGAATAATAAATTTTAGTCTTCTTATTGATTAAGTAGCAAATTTAAAGAAATATCAAGAATTAATGGTTTTATTAAAAATTAAATATGATATATATGAACCTATAGAATCATTTTTAAATACAAGATATACTATTGTTGGATTAAATGCAGCATTATCAAATAAGATTATAGCTTAAAATGAATATGATCAATTAATAAAATTTCCAAGATCAAATTTAGCAAAAGGATATGATGATCTTAAAGTTAACATAATGGATGTAATTTAGAAAAGAGAATTTTAATCATTTTTAAAAGATAAATACTTTGATGCATTTTTGTACATTTCAACTAACAAAGGAAATTTAAAAAACATAACTTTTAGAAGTGGAATTTTGGCTATGCTAAATTATCAATATGAATATAAATTAGCCTATACTATAAGACCTTTAGTAATAGATAGTGCTTACTCATATTATTCATATAAAAATTACATTCCTATTTTTACTATGTTTACATAGTTTAATTAAGATGTTTTAAATTTACTCTATTTTTTGATATCAAATTAATAATAAGACTTAAAATTGTTAAATATTCTTTTTAATGTATTATTAGCATTTATATCTATTGGAAATTTAATATTTCTAATTAAACAGCGTAAATTGAAAAATAAATTTTTAAGCTTGCTTTGTTAATAAGATAAAGATGTAATGATTTAAGAAAGTCATCGATTATAATTATTATTATCTTAAATCAATATAAATTATAATTAAATATACTAATATTCTTTAGATATTTAAACTTTTGATGATAAATTAAAAACTCATGAAAAAGATTATTACAATTCAATCAATAAAAAAGGAAAAAAAGTTAATAATTAAAGAAGAAATAAGCAATTAAAACTAATTAACTTTCTCTAAATTGGTATTGCATTAGCAAATTTTTGTTTTTTATTACTAATCAATATCATAACAATAGATTCTATTGATAAATATTTACATAAACAATAGAAAACTGGTCTAATTTATTCATCACTTTCTAACACAGGAGTTGATGTTCTAATAATATATGCTTAAAGGGAAGTTTTATATAGGATTGCAGCTTTTTCATTTTTATCAACTCAAGATATTTAAGACATTTATGATTAGATTGATACAAGTCTAAATTAAATTAGTAATTTTACATAATAATTTATTTAAATAAACTCAAATGATTATTTATTGGATGAAAATTCTATCAAATTATTTCATGATGCAAGCACTTAATCTATATGTGATTTCTTGCATGAAGTATTTTATTATTTTATCATTTATAGAAATCTGCTAATTTTTCAAGATCATTATGTCCTATTGTATTAGATGGAGTATTGACTAAAGGTTTGATAGCAACTTTAAATTTGATGTAAACTTCGATATTTGCTGAAAAATAAGTAAACAATTTTACAACAAGAGAAATAAGTTAAGTACCTATAAAAGAATTAGAAGGAGCTACATTTACAGCTTGGGTTATTTAAGAGTTAGTGACTGATTTAGAGCAAAACTTATAAAAGTATTCAACTTAATTATAATTATCGTATAATGTAATTAATTTAATCAATTATCTTAGTTTATTTATGCATTTGGTATTGTATTTTAATTAATTTTTGCTGCTTTTGTAGTGCTATTTAATAGTAAGTATGAATTCTAATCAATAAACATCCTAAAAAGGGTTGTTTATATTTTACCCTAATCTATTTTGCTTTTTGATGACTCGTTTTAGAGGCAAATAAAAATTATAATGAAATAGGAAAAATTACAATGATATATAAATTTATAAACTATTATTATTATAATTAAATTTATTTTAACATAGAATTTTGTATGATTCTTTCTATTTGATTACTCTATTCTTTAAAATTATTTATAAATCTATATTATATTTAATTTTTCAATTAATCTCGAATATATTAATTTAATCTTAACTTCTCACATAATTTGAATATAAAATAAATTATATTATAAATATATACCATTATTTTAGATTATCTAAATTTAGTAAAAATTGATGATTCATAGTTTAAATTATTTTAAAATTTCTTAAATTTTCTCATGATTTAGATTCTTAAGATTAGTCTTACAAAATGCTTTAAAAAAAAAAAAATCAGATTAAAACTCACTGTTTTACATTTCCATTATAAGTTAATTTATATGCTTAAAATATAAATATAACTAGATTTAGTGTTCTTAAATTTAAATAATATTTTAATAGATAATAAATTATGATATTTTATAACTTATATTTATTTCTTTTATTCAAAATTTATATACTTTTAACTTAAGAAAATTTTAATTATCTAAATTAGTTAAATTTGATGTAAGCTTAGTTTATAAATAAGATAATTACTTATTTAATTCATCAAATAAAATAATACTATAATATTAAAGTCTAATTCACATCAAATTTTGATTGTATTTTATTTTACCAATTTTGTTTCTACTTCTCTGACTACTTTTACTTTGTTATTAAGGCAATTTTCTTTGTTCAAAATTAGATTCTTAATGACTTCTGAATTAATAATACATTACTTCTAATCAAATTAAATTATTGAGCCATTCATTATTAAAATAATTGGTTTATATATATGTCTTTAGTTATTTGCAAATATTCAAAATATGTTTATTTCAATTCTTTTTATTTCCTATTATTCAATCTTTATTAAATTAGTTTATCATTTTCTTATTTTGAGTTAATATAGATATGTATCCTCATTAATGATTAAATTCAAAAATTTAATTTCATTGAACAGTTAAAATAAATATAATTACTATTTAGAACTTAAGATTAGTATGAATAATTCATTACTTGATTCATATTTTCCTTTTAATGAAAGAAATAAGAAAATATTAATAAGGTTAATGATTTAATAGGTTTATTCCAAATAAATAATTTTTTATTTAATTAGGATAAATTGATTTGTTTAACTTTTTTAAAATTTAAACTTATTTCAAATATATTGATTTAATCTATTAATGATCATGTTAATATATTCATTCAAAATACAAAATTAAGTTATGAATCTTATGTATGAGAATTTAAACTAAATTTTTTCTAAATAAATTACAAATATTTACTTGTATATAATGAATATAAAATACTCTATAATTGTTTGATATATGAATTGTAATACATTTATATAGAATGTAATTTCATCAATGAAATTTATATTTTAGTTAATGTTAAAATTTAACATGCCAATATAAAATTTTTATAAAAATAGGATTTAATTCAAAATGGTTTGAATTATTTGGTAGTATATACAAAATAGCATATAATGTTTTAAAATAAAATTAATGAAAAAATCAGAACTCAAGCAGTGCTCTAAATAAGCAAGATTTCATAAACTATTAGATATTGAAAGTGTTAAGGACTAAATGCTTGTTTGTTATTAATAAGATTTCCAATCATTAAAACAGTTCTATTCTAATTTTGATCCTGATTTTGTTGAATACTTAAAAGATCTATACTCAACAAGCTTTGATGAAATTTATAATATTTAGGAGATTTTAAAAATAGTATAGAGTAGATTAAAACATGGAGAGAAAACATTAAAACAAAGCATTAGAAAAAATTTAATTTAATTATTGTAATTGGAATAGCCAGTTCCAGCATTAGTATTCTTTTTAAAAATCACACCAATTTCATTTGAAATTCATTACAAAGAGGAACTTTTATTAATTCTTGATACTATGCTTTAAAAATTTAATTTTGATTTAAGATCTGAAATATATAAAAGTCTTTATGATGCATTAATAGAAACAACAGATGAAGAAATAATATTATTAAGTATAAAACTATTAAATTCAAAATTTGATTTTACAAATTAATTTAATTAAAAATAATTTGAAATACTAGATTAAATAAATGGTCAAATTGTTTAAATTAATTTATAAGATTCTAAAGATATCATAATTTAATTGGTAAAACATTTTAAAGAATTTCATGAAAAATTAAAAAATAAAAGACAAAGTTTAGATTAAGTAAAATCTGAGAAATTCCCTTAATTTGTATTAAAAGTTGTATTAATGCTATTAAAAGAGTAAGAAATAGTGATTCCAGAATTACTTACATTTTTATTTTTCAAAGAGACTCCAGATAAGAAAAAGTGTATAGCTATAAAATCATAAGTAAAAGAAATTTAAAAGATGTTTGAAATACCAAGAATGAAATAATGTTTAAATTTATTAAAGATAGATGATAGTATATTTTCAAAAGGTGCAATTGGTTATGAATAAGTTTACTCTATCTGTTAAAAAGATTATCCAATATTTCTAAGTTTAAAACTTAATGGAGCACTTATTTAATATATAGAATTCCTCCATTCAATGACACATATCAATACTGATTAATTCATTTAAGTTTTTCATAATACTGCATTTGAAGACTTTTTGACATCAATATGGAATATATGTGGAAAAGAAATCTAATAATTGTTATAAAATATACTTATAGAAGATTTAGAATATGCTAAATATGGTTCCAATATTTTAAGAATTGGTACATTTTTATATAGAATCAAATTTAAATTAGAAAAAAAGATTATTAATAATATTGAAAAAGGTGGGGATTTAGAAGAATAATCTATTGAAAGAAGAGCAGATAGTATGAATCCTCTATTTAAAACATTTATCACATATTTAGTATCAAAATAAATACCATTTCCATTAATTCTTAAAACTTTAAAGATGGATTATTATAATCTTAAAATAGGATACAGAATAACTGATATGAGAGAACTTGTAGTTGATCCAAAATTTAAAAACTATATGAAATAATATCATGGAGTTATTTGTAATAAACAAGATCCTGATGAAAATTTAGATCATATTATTACAAGATAATATCCTATTAAAGCTAATAATAATGGAAAAAAATATGAATTAAATTGGCCTAGGTTAATTAAAAAGTAAGTTAAATTAATTTTTGAAAACAGAGAATTATTGCAATAATAATTAATAGATATTCATTAAAACTAAAATTTCATCAAAGTTTATAATGAATTAATTAAAATTAATGACAATAATAAAAAGAAAATGTAGACAAAAGAAATCTTGATAGAATTAGTTGAATATATCAAATCAATTGAAAATTATCAGTGATTGAATATTTATTTATTAATTTCCATTTATATAGCCTTAATTATTTATCAATGATTCTGACAAATATTTATTTATATATTTGATCTAATTATTTTTACTAGCTTTATAATCTTTTATATTACTTGGATAAAATTTTGTTACATAATATTTTAAACCATGTTAAAAAAAATAATTAATCATAAATATTTTTAACAAAACTTATAACCATATATTGAAGAACTTTCTCATAATATATATAGATGAAATTTATAAAAGGTTATTTCAAATTCTCTACAGACTTTATTTATAATTTTATCTATCAAAACATTTTTAGTAAACAATTTTGAATCAGCGATTATATATAATAGTAAAATTGGTTATATATAATTTAAATGATTTTAATAATTTTAAATCTTATTTACAGATCTTAGATTGACATTATGTTAAAATAATATTATGAATTATATGATAAAAGTATATGTTATTTTTTCATGCATATTAAGATGTCTGATTTTTAAGGTAGACGCAAATTTTAAATCATTTTAATTATTCTTTTAGATATTGTAATTTTTAATATTAATCAAAAATTAGATAAGTGTATTAACTCTTTTAATCTTAGCTTTTAATTTTATATTGACAAATGATAAAGAAGGCATCAATGGTTCATTTAAAAATTAAGATGAAATTTGCATATTAACACTAATAATAGTTTTTAAAATTGTCTTAAATTTAACATGAATTAGAAACAAGAAAATCAATGTCTAAATTTATAAAATTTTGGCTTAAAAATTCATCGACAATAATTTAAGAAATTCATCTAAAATAAATACCTTAATCTTAAAATATTCATATATTAGATTTATAAATGAAAAAAAAAATATATATTATTAATTAATTTTAAGCCCAATTAAACGGTTGTACNTTTAAAAACTATATGAAATAATATCATGGAGTTATTTGTAATAAACAAGATCCTGATGAAAATTTAGATCATATTATTACAAGATAATATCCTATTAAAGCTAATAATAATGGAAAAAAATATGAATTAAATTGGCCTAGGTTAATTAAAAAGTAAGTTAAATTAATTTTTGAAAACAGAGAATTATTGCAATAATAATTAATAGATATTCATTAAAACTAAAATTTCATCAAAGTTTATAATGAATTAATTAAAATTAATGACAATAATAAAAAGAAAATGTAGACAAAAGAAATCTTGATAGAATTAGTTGAATATATCAAATCAATTGAAAATTATCAGTGATTGAATATTTATTTATTAATTTCCATTTATATAGCCTTAATTATTTATCAATGATTCTGACAAATATTTATTTATATATTTGATCTAATTATTTTTACTAGCTTTATAATCTTTTATATTACTTGGATAAAATTTTGTTACATAATATTTTAAACCATGTTAAAAAAAATAATTAATCATAAATATTTTTAACAAAACTTATAACCATATATTGAAGAACTTTCTCATAATATATATAGATGAAATTTATAAAAGGTTATTTCAAATTCTCTACAGACTTTATTTATAATTTTATCTATCAAAACATTTTTAGTAAACAATTTTGAATCAGCGATTATATATAATAGTAAAATTGGTTATATATAATTTAAATGATTTTAATAATTTTAAATCTTATTTACAGATCTTAGATTGACATTATGTTAAAATAATATTATGAATTATATGATAAAAGTATATGTTATTTTTTCATGCATATTAAGATGTCTGATTTTTAAGGTAGACGCAAATTTTAAATCATTTTAATTATTCTTTTAGATATTGTAATTTTTAATATTAATCAAAAATTAGATAAGTGTATTAACTCTTTTAATCTTAGCTTTTAATTTTATATTGACAAATGATAAAGAAGGCATCAATGGTTCATTTAAAAATTAAGATGAAATTTGCATATTAACACTAATAATAGTTTTTAAAATTGTCTTAAATTTAACATGAATTAGAAACAAGAAAATCAATGTCTAAATTTATAAAATTTTGGCTTAAAAATTCATCGACAATAATTTAAGAAATTCATCTAAAATAAATACCTTAATCTTAAAATATTCATATATTAGATTTATAAATGAAAAAAAAAATATATATTATTAATTAATTTTAAGCCCAATTAAACGGTTGTACAAATTAAGTGAAAAATATCAAGCCTCTCCTAAAATTTAATTCCATTATTATCTTAACAAGTTTCAATGAATATCAGTAGATCTAGATTAAAAGGATAATAAAGAAAATTTAAATGAACAAATTAATTTAATAATTTTTCATAAAGAGAAAATAATGCTGATAAAAAAGAGAAATAATATATAACCTCAAACTTTTCTTATTGAGATTATTGTTCACACTCTCTTTTGGATTCAAAAAACTAATGTATTTACCATAAAAATCAATTAATTCTTTATTTTTAAACTATAATTAAAAATATCAAAAAGTAAATCTTATTTAAAGAAACAAAATTAAAAGTCAAAATAAGACGTGTTTATTTATAACTCCTAATCAATCTTTAAAGCAAATTAAAAAGGAAATTTGATATATAATTTTTATATTTTTACATTATGATGATGATCTTAATATAAATGAATAGCTTCAACATCAAATTGTTTATCATTCTGATAAATGTTTTTAATACCTAAACGATTTACAATTCTTAAATATGTATTGATCCATCCTTTTTATTTAAATTTTTTACTCAATCAATGAAATCTAATAAAAAAGGAAAAACTCAAACTAATTTAACTTAAGAAAAGACAAATCTAAAAATGAGACAAAAGAAAAATATATTTAATCTTAAATTTATATTAATGTTCATTCTCCCTCATCGTATATCAATTATCGTATTTTAATTCATCACTTTTGTTTCATAATTATATTAAATAATTTTACATAATTGAATCTTCTTTCAAATTAATTTTATTCCATATACCAATTTTTTTACCATATTTATACTCTCCATCATAAATGATTTAGGACCATTTATTAAATTTCTCACTTATCTCAACCCATTTCCCATTTTTAACTCTTTCACCTCCTTGTTTTTAACAATCATGATCATATGATCCTCCACCACTCAATTTAAAAATATTTTATACATTTTTTGATTGCTTTCATTTTGTATCCAATAACAATCCCAAATTCCAATTTTCTTTCCATTTTGATATTCACCTGTGTAGGTTATTTATGAACCTTCTCTATAGTCATAACTCAACTCGACCCATTTTCCAATCTTTAAACCAAGTCTTCCTTCTTTTCCATCATCATATAATCCACCACCACTTAACATAAAAATTGTTTTTACATTTATTAGTTAATTCCATTATAAATCCAATTAATATCCCAAAATCCAATTTTATTTCCGTTTTAATACTCACCAATATAAATTACTTAAGAATTATCCATAAATCCATCACTTAATTCTATCCACTTTCCAATCTTTAAACTTCCAATTTAATCATCATAAGATCCACCACCACTAAATATTGAATTTTAAAATTATCTTACATAACTTAAAATTATTAATCACTATCCTCTTCTCTCCATAAAATATTCCATCTACCAACTTTTTTACCATTTTTATATTCACCATTATAAATAACTTAAGAACGATTATAAAATCCATTGTTTAACTCAATCCAATTTCCTGTTTTAACACTTTCCCTTTCATTCTTCTCATCTTCATCATATTATCCACCTCCACTAAATATAAAATTAATATATATTTTTCTACATCAACTAGAATGGCTTTTTGTCATACATTCTCCATAAAATTTCCCATTTTCCAATTTTCTTGCCATTTTAATATTCCCCTTTATAAATTACTTATGAATCTCCCCAAAAACTATCGGTCAATTCAATCCATTCTCCAATCTTTATACTAGTATCTCCATATTAATTCCCTTAATCATATTAGCCACCACCACTAATTCTATTGATTTTATTCTTACATTTATTCATTCATATAATCTCCATAGGCCTTCTTCCACATAGTATTCCATCTACCAACTTTTTTATCATTTTTATATTCACCATGGTAAGTAACTTAACTTAAATACCAAAACCAATCACTCAATTCAATCCACTTTCCTATCTTTACATCTACACCTTCTTTTTATTGATCATCATCATATAATCCACCACCACTATAATTATATAATTTTAATGTCCTCTTTACATTTCATCATTTTAATAATCTTGAAAAGTCTTCTTAAAATATATATCCCATTTCCCAATCTTTTTATCATTTAGATATTCTCCTTTATATGTTATTTGAGAATAATTCCAAAATCGATCACTTAATTCAATCCATATACCAATCCTCTATCCTTATTTATTATATTCTCCATAACCACTATATAATTTATAATTTAATAGATACATCTCTTTTTCACAATTTATTGATTTCCAAACTCCTTTTTTATAATTATTCTCATATTCTCCCATTTCATAAACCTAAGCTTCACTATATTATGTTCAATTTCAAAGTTACCTCCAAAAATTTCTTATCAGTTCCTTCCATTATCCATTTTTTTTTCCATCATTTGAGTATTACCCACCTACATTTTTTAAGGTTTCCCCTTTCCAAATAGTTGACCATCTACCAATCTTTTAATTATTCTCCCCAAATTGTCCATCCAATTACAAATGTTAAATTTATTCTAAATTTTTTAGTACTTCAGCCTATTTTTATGTGCTATGCAATTGATCACTAACAATATTTTTAAGTTAATATTTACACTCTTATTACTGCTCCATCTTTAATGTATAAAGCTTTATTATCAGACGTAAGAATGATTTAAAATTCAATATTGACTAGTCTTCCAACCATTAAATCCAAAATAAAACCTTAATACTATTATGTTTCTTCTTATTTGTTATGATCTATCATTTAAGTTTTATTTCTTATAAAATAATTTATATCATTACAGGATACAAATTTTTATTAATTTTTTCTTCTGAAAAGATCATTTAGTTACTTGAGAAAAATGAGTTTAAACAAAACTAAGACTTGTTTAAATGAAATTTTTATTGCTTCTACACATTTTTTACAGAACTAACCTGATATAATTAAGATTCTTGGTTTAGAAAGAACAAAAATTTAATTATATATAGTGAAGCATATGTATTAAAATTAATAATTAAATATCATCTAAAATTAAAAATTAAAAAATTTAAGTTCAAATACTAAAAAAGAAGAATTATTTCTTTAAATAATTTTGTAATCCAAAATTAAGAATATTAAAATAAATACTTATCTTTAAAGTAGAAACATAATAAGTTGCGAATAATTAATTTAAATTATACATAAGATAAATAAATTAAGTGTTTGCTCTTTTTAAGTATTTAAAAAATAATTTATTATTTTAAATTTTTTTTATATTTGACTTCAAATAACAAGCCTAATTATTAAATAATATTTGATTTAAATTAAACTTAACAAAGAATGATCTTATTGGATAAAATA